TTAGTGCTGGTCTTCCTCTTTTCTACGTTAGAGATAGACAAGCCCAATGTGGGCGCGTCTGGAGACCTAAGACCCTGAGGCACCCGCAGTAACATTAACAGGCGACCTGACCCCGCCGAGGGAAAAGCCATGAGGACCTCGGGGTCTGGAGCTGGGCGGGAGGCTGCAGCTCCCAGAGCTCGCTCTGCCGCCTCCTCTCAGACCTCAGCCCGACCCCATCCCTTCCCCGGCTCCCGTCCCACAGCATCACCACTGTGTGTCTTTCCGGTCTGTAAGAGTCCTTCCATGAGGCCTGTAGGCCGTAGAAGTCTCAGTAAGCAGTCTAGCCGGGACAGAAATTCTCAGCACTACGTTGTGGTCAGGGCAGCCATGACACCGGAAGTCCTATTATTCTAAAACTTTGTCTTAATTTCAGCACAGAGAGTTGGTTTTTTCTATTGGGTTGGGAAGTGCTAATGTTGATTGATACTTATCAATGAATAAGGCTTCATGAGCCCAGAGAAAAATGAGAAAAATCAGTCTGCATGAGCTTTTCACAAAACTGGACTTGTTTACTAACTTCCCTTTATTCTAATTTCATATCCTTCCTCTTTGCTAGTTTTCATAAAATGAAAGTGATGTTAGATAATAGTATAATTTTTTGATGTCTTTCCTTGAATAATATTTAAAAGCTAGAAGCCTGTGTTGGTCCCTAAATTTTTTAAAAAAAGAATCAGTTATCTATGAAATTGAAAATCCTTGGGATTGCTATTGACTGACTTATTGGAAATAGCCCTAGAAACAGTGGCACTGCAAGAGAAAAGAATACCTAGTGCCCAGATATTGACTTCTGATGCTCTTTTTCTAAAAAAAAAAAACAAGATTCCTGAGAAAAAGAGCTCATTCTAGAATCAAGACACAAAATGTAAAAGATGAGCACAAGCCTGGAGCATCTGATAGTTTAGGAGTGTAGGGAAGTGCCTGACAAAAACCTGGGGGCGGGTGGGCGTCACAGGGCCACAGCAGCAAACGGAGAGAGCTCCCCATTGTCAGCGATGGAACAAACTGAGCAAAAATTAAATAGTCAAGTAGTATACCTAAAGTAGAAAATAAATATTTTAAAGTCCATATTGTTACAAATAATTGAATAAGTAATGAGGAAGAATAGATAAATATGTTGTACATTCTGCAAATTTATCTAGATCTGCAAATTTATCTAGATTTATCTAACTGCAAATTTATATAGATGTGGCACCTGCATGAGGCAGGGCATGACTTTCCTCTATTGAAGTAGGGGCCATGCATGGTGACGGCTATCCAAAGAAAATGGTGTAAGAAGAAAGAATGAATGACTCTAGAGTGGACAAAACCGACAAATCCCATGTGCTCCAGGATAACGTCCGCAATGGTAGTGCACACCCTTGATGCGATGGGATGGAAAAGGCACTTTACTTCTATGTTCTTCCTCATCCAAACAGATAATCTCAGAGCAGTCATGAGAAAACATCACAGGGGGACATACTGCACAATCCCTGACCTACTCCTCAAACTGGTAAAATTATCAAGAGCAAGGAAAGTCCAAATGTAAATGAATGACTAAATGTGCTGTGGTGTCTTGGCTGAAACTCTGGAACCATCAAAGGACACCAGATAAAAATGAAGGAAATCAGAATAAAGTGTGGATTTCAGTTAATAACAATGTATCAATATTGACATCTCTTGCCTACAATCACAGTACTTGGGAGGCTGAGGCAGGAGAATTGCTGTGAGTTCAAGGCCAGCCTGGGGCTACACAGTGAGTTCAAGGCCAGCCTGAACTATATTGCATAATCCTGCCTCAAAAAACAAACAAACAAGTATTGGTGACAAATGTAACATATTAACAGAAGATGTTGTCAAGGGCTTTAGGTGTAATATAGAAACTCTGTACTATCTTCATGATTTCTTTTGTAAATATAAAGCTGAATATAAATTTATAAAGCTGAATGTAAATATAAATTCTGAAATTTTAAAAGTGTATTTTTAAAAAAGCAAATTGTCTTTAGATATTAAAAGGGCACATCTTCAGTCACATTGGCACCGTTTGGAAATTTGGCCTTTTTCCTGGGGAACATATGGAGGTGAAAGTAATCTGATTTTAGCATTATTAAAATGCCCTTTGGTCCGTCCTTAGCCTGTATATAAACTGTTATGATGATAAGCAACCAAGTTTTGCTTACCATTAACTTGAAGTCTGACCTGGCAAATGGGGCTATAGCTCAGTGGCACAAGTGCCTGCATGGCAAGTACAACGTTCTGAGTTCAATTCTCAGTACCAAAAAAAAAAAAAAAAAAAAAAAAAAAAAAAGTGAACTGGAAAATGATTGTTTTTCTTCATGTTTGGAAGCCAGAGCATTCTTTTTGGTGTGAATGACTCATTCCTCAGTAAGAATTATTTACCTGTGTGTCATTAGTACTGTCCTTAGGAATCTATTTTTCTGTAAGCAAATGATTTTGCTTTGGGTACTTGCTGAAGGTCTAGGGTCAACAAAATGTAGGATTTGTTGGTCTGGAAAGCAATATTACTAAATTCTGTTCAAGCCAATGGACATTTACAAGCTCCAGCTGTATGCAAACACTGTGCCAGGCCTTCAGTCTTCTGCTTTACTCCAGTTTTCTGTCCTGAAAATCAACTTGTCTTTATGGTCCCTTCTTGACACATTAATATTCAATAATGGTCTGACCTTTATAAAAACATGCATCTTTATAAGTCATTCCTTGGGAAAGAAGATCTCTGGCCCAAGGAATGGATCTCTTATGTCTGAGCCGAGGAGTCAGGTGTGAAAAGGGTCATTTATGGGGCAGATCTTTTATGCCCTCTGAAAATGCGATGGCGCTCCACCTGCCTCTCTGAAGATGGCTTTGGTGGGCTGAATTGTGGCTCTGCACTAGAGTGGTTCCTTGTGTTCTAGTTTCTTCTTGTTCAGTGGTGAATAAAGAGATTTTCAGTAAAGAGAAGGGAGACTTACAGGCAGTGCTCTGCTACTTGTTACTTGAGACATTGGGCTTCTTATTTTTTACTCTGAAAAAAGAATGAAAAGAAGCTGACCTTGGATCCTTCTGAGGCTTCTCTTTTCTCACCACTGAGCTGGGTCAGGTAGGTCTTTGCTGAGTTTGGTGTCTGAATCAATAAGGTGTCAGTTCTGAGTTCTCCCAAGGTTCTCTCTTTCCCTTACTATGGCCAATGGGTTTAAGAGTGTCCCTTAAGTTGACACAGGAGTCCTGAGTTGTCCTTATTTCAGCTCATTTGTTTTTGGCAAGTGACCTATTTCACTTGCATTTTAGAATAGTTTCTGGCTATCCCAATATTGTCATTTGGGAGAGATGTATGTATTGCAGTGTGGTATAGGGACAGGATCGTGGACTTTGAAATTAATCTTGTCCTGAGGTCAAATCCTACCTTACCATTTAACTGTACCCATGACCTTAGAAAGTGCTTAACACCTCCAATTCCATTTTCCAATTACTAAAATAGCAGTAGGAATCCTTACCTGTCAGGGGAGGTGTGGAGATGAAACTGGATGACATGCGGTGCTCAATAAACATTAATTTATTTCCTTTCTCCTCCTTTCCTTTGCTGCCTTGGATAATGATGGAAGATGTATTTGTATCAGTGTATTTGCCCTTGGCTTTTGGATTATTAAGTTATTATAGTTGTCCCTTGCCTTTAGGGGATTGAATCTACAACCTCCCTTGGGTAAAAAATCCACACATAATCCCTTATATAAAACGACACAGTATTTGTACACAATCTATGAATATCCTCCCATGTACGTTAAGACATCTCTATAGTATTTGTAATATCGATGCATAGTAAATGCTATGAAAATAGTTGTTATTCTATATTTTTGTGGGGAATGATGACAAGAAATAATTCTGAACATGTTTTGCATGAACATAATTTTTCTCTCTGAGTATTTTTGATCCCATATGTTTGGATCTGTGGAAGTGAAACCTGAAGATATGGGGGACCAATGTGGACCAATGTGGATCAGTGATAAGTTTTTCTCCCCCACTTCTTCCTGCTGGATAGGGCACATGCCTGCCTAAAGTAGCAGAAGATGACCGCATCCTAATATAAAGTTGATGACCACAGATGGGAGATGTGTGGAATTTCTGATTATTTTTTAACTGATACAGACAGAGGAAAGCCCAATCTTTTAATTTTTTTTCCCTTTTTTCGTCTTTGTTCCTGAGAACTGGATGAAGCTGATAAAGATTAAAGACTTACAAAGCAGAGTTTCAAATTGACAATCCTACAGAGCTGGGCAGGTAATGTAAATGAGTGATGAGGACTGGTATGCAAAAAGGCGAAGGTAGCGAAGCCACAGGGATGGCGCTTTCCCTTGGCACAAGGGTGCCATAGAGTGGAGAGGAATGCAGGGACTCGAAAGAGAGTATTCCACCTAACAGGCACAGCCCTCCTTGGCCTCAAGAGGGGATTGCTCTCAGGACTACGGACTCTGTCTTCAGAACTACTATATTTCCAAGAGAACCTAGAACAGAAGTATATGAGATGTCTTAATTTTCAATTATTGACAATTATACTGAATTTAATTGAGGGCTAACCTTAAAAGACTACCCAAAATGTTATGATCTCTGGGCAAAAAGGACTGTGGGGAGGGAAGACAATTAGCAGTCTGTAACTTGGGGTTGGCACTGCGGCGAGAGTAGGGAGAGAGAAAGAGAAAGCTAGAGGACCTGGACAGACGGGTCATCCTGAATCTCATGCACTCTGAAATGGATTGGGATGTATGGCCTGAGTGTCAAGTACAGAAATAATGTACATGTACCTGAGCAACTTAAAATAAGGCCACTTGAAACAAGGACAATTTCTCATTACAATATATATATGACTTGGCCTACAGGTCTGAATTTTAAAGTTTTCCCTTTTATTTTTATCAACTACGGATTTCAATTTTGTGCTGACTTTAATTTTGCATGAAAAGTATAATGCATCAACGTAAATAAGAGAACAAAGAAATTATCTAAAGAATTTATTTAATTATTTTGGGGCACAAATATTTCTGCACCTCTGACTCTTCTTGCTAGAAAAAAATAGAGCTAGTGATACATTTGTTAATGGCATTTTAGAAATGTGCTCTGATGTATAGAGGTAATGTACTTCTTAGGCATGTTAATAATCAATTAAAGTTATAATGATTGTCATATTAGAGAAAATGAATAGATTAGTCTCAGTTTAAAAATTAGGTGGAAAGTAGATAAGCTAGAAATATCAAAGTTGGACAATTTAATTTTAGACAGCCCTCTGCTATGCTCAAGTTTGGATGACTAATATTGAATTACAGAGTATATATCTTGCAGAGCACCTGACATACACAGGTTGAGCATCCTTAATCCAAAAATCCAAAAAGCTCCAAAATTTGAGCATCAATATGACACTTCCAAGTGGAAAACTCTTTACCATGATACTTAACTTCAATCATAAAACAGTTAAAAATATTGCATAAAGTTTCTTTCAACCTATAAGGTAGCTATGAAACATAAATGAATTTCATGTTTAGCGTCAGAGCTAATCCCCAAGGTATCTCTTTACCTATGTGCAACTATTTCTAAATCTAAAAAGAACCAAAATCTGAAAATACTCTGAATCCAAACATTTTAGAATAAAGATACTAGACCTGTAGCAGATATTGTTGAATTTTATTACTTTTCTTTTAACACAGTAATTTTCCTTAGTAATAGTTTCTATAGCTCAGGTAAAACTAGAAATTTCTAGGAGTATTTTTTTGTTTCTTATAGATGTTTATTTTAGAGAAAATAGCAGCAACAGAAAGAAAAGAAAGTGTATGTATGTTCTAAAAAGTGATTGCAACTCAACTGACTCAGAGAAGAATACCTGTCTGCTTTTAGTCCTGCTCTAATACCTGGCCCCGTCTGCTGATAGTCCCTGCTGGCTACGGTGGTGTTAGTAACAGCCTCCTCCTAGTGCTCTGTTTATTGAGTGTTTGCAGAGATTAGGTCTCAAGTCATGGGAATTTCAGTGGCTTGTTCTACCTTCTTTTACTTGCCCCTGGTTTTGAAGGACATGGCCAGGTGGTACAGGTGTTTCCTTTTTAGACCCGAAAAAGACTGTGGGCCATGGGTCTAGCTCGGTCTCAGTTACTCTGCTGCCCACACCACCACCCCCTCTCAGGCAACCTGGAGACCCGTTTACAGATGTGCGCTGATGAGCTGTTGTAGGCTCTTGGGCTTTAAAAGCTCCTCTCTCCCTCTGGGATGTTAGGACACAGCCAGGCTAGAAAGGCTATGGGAGGATTTGGAGTAGGAGCATAGGATCCAGAAAGGAGTAAAGGGAGAAGAGAGCTTCCTTTGGAGAACTCCATCGTCCAAAGAAAGCCCCAGCTGATCCTTGTTAGGAACTGATGGCGAATTTTCTTCTGTGGTTCTTTGGCTCTCTGTTTCCCCACCTGGAGCCCGGCTATGGATCAGGAAAGCAACCAGCCTCAGGTGTTCCTCTTGCTTCTTGTCTAAACTTCAGCTTCTAGGCATCGCACTGTAGTTTTGGGTGGCGTCTTGGGCTCTTCTGGGTTATTATCAGTTTTCTTCGATTCTTCGTCATCAGCCTTGTCTTCCTTTACTACTTTGGTTTCAATCATTTCCTTCTGCTGATTTTTGTTTGTAAAAGGGAAGGCCTTCACATACCTGTAAACAGAAACATAAAATCATGAACCCACATTTTTAAATAAATGTATGCACGTTCATCAAGAAAAAAGCCCCCAGAAAATTAAAGGGAGACACATCTGTGTAACACACTGCGGCAGAAATGGCTCATCGTAGTACAGTTGCTTTATTGCAGAGCAAGACTAACATGCTTGCTCCAATATACTAACACATCCCCATCTGAATCAATTCATTCACAGGCCCAACTTAGGCTGGCCCCCTCACGACTCTTTCTTTTAAAACCCAGAACCACACATCAAATATAACACAAAACTTTCCTGTACATGACAACTTTTCTTTTTAAGCCCTTCACTTTCAAAGGGCTACCCACTGACCGATATGGACACCCTGGATAACATTCATATTGACAAGATGGGAGGAGAGTTGGAGTGAGCGAATAATGTTACAGTCTGGGAAGAGTGCATCTCCATTTTGATCCACAAAAGGCCAACAACACTAGAAAAACATGAGACAGGGACGTGCCAAAGATGACAAGACTAGCCATGTGCCAACAATCCCACCTTTTGACGTAACAGACTGCCAGACCAGCTGCAGCACTGAAGAAGAGCAGAGCAAGCACGAGCAGAGTCGTGGGGACGCCTGTGGAAAAAGACAGCTCTGTTGGTCCTTCACTTATGTGCTGTGTGTCTGTGCATTTAGGACTCATCTGTACAGTCATGGAGACAACAGACAATTCAGGAGAAAAGCCTTTCTCTGACTTTTTTTTTTTTTTTTTGTCTTTTTTTGAGACAGGATCTCACTATGCAGTTCAGGCTGGCCTTGAGCTCACTTTGTAGCCCAGGCTGGTCTCGAACTTGATCCTCCTGCCTCAGCTTCCTGAGTGCTGGGATTACAGGCGTGCTCTAACACGCCTGGTTCTCTGACCATTTACAATGTTGGGCTCTCAGCAGCTTCTTTCTTTCTTGTTTATTCCCCTGGAGCTCTAGTCTACATAACTGCAACACGAAAAATACAGTTCATTTCCTGTGGCCTTGAGGTTTAATCTAGTTTAGTTGGCCTGAGGGACAGTGGCCTGGAATAAAGCTACAGGCACTTAAGGTATATTTCTTTATATATATGATAACAAGGGTCACAAGTTTTCAAATGTGAAGTCCTTTTACACTTAACAGTGTTGTAGCCTGATCATTAAGGTTCTTTACAACTCTCAAGTTCTATGACTTCATTAAATCTGACTTTGCGTTAAGCTTTTATTTGTACCTAGCAGGTGCTAAGTGGCCAATCTGGAGACACATAGAATGCTATGTACAGAGTGTTTTGCATAACACAGATACAGAAAATATTTACCTCCAAACCCAGGAGCTTCATTTTTGAACATTGCCCCATTTTCAAAGGATGACTCTGTTTCTGTAGGCACGGAACTAGTTTCTGTAAAAACTTCTGTGATACAAATCAATTTTTTCCTCCGAGAAGTGGCAGCCCGAGCAGGAGTGGTGGCAGGAGCAGGGGTTGTAGAGTACGGGGCTGATGCTGAGAAGGTGCTGTCACTGGCAGTAAACTCTACACTGTAGGTTTCGGTTTCAAAGTCAGATAAGGGCTCAGGGGTGGTGATAATTTCTGGAACGCATGAGTTGACCCAAATATCTGTCAGGAGAAGGAAAAATGAAGCAAGAAATAAATATTGTAACAGCCTGCTACTTCTCTAACTTTTTCTCCAGCCTGTTACAGTGTCTGTCTGGTTTACAGGGCTTTCCATGATCTGGTCCTGTTGATGTGAGACTCATTGCTCCTGCCACACTGAAATTCCTCCAGTTCCTTTCTTCCCCATCCGCACCTTCCCCACAGCGCTCCTGCCTTTTACTTAGCTAACTCCTGCCTAGGCATCTGATTCAGGGGCCAAATGACCACATCTTTCTCGGCAGACTTGTTGAACAGATTGATCCTTGGGCATATCTTCTTGTACCTCCGTGTATTTCTCTTGTCACACTGTTCCTCCCTGGCTTGTGAACTCCATGGAAGCAAGAAACTTATCTCTCCTGGCCATGTAGGTATGTCCACCACATCTGACACATAGTATGTGCTCAGTAAATATTTAATAAAGAGAGGTGAGAACAGGAAAACTGGAAAGGCAGGAGTAGATGGGGGGACACAATAGAGACAGGTGACGCCACTCTAAGACATCTGCTGAAGCCAAAATTTCTCTGTACTTACTTTTAAAAATGAAAAGGTAGGGGACAAGGGTAAGGGTGTGCATTTGTTTTCCAACCTTTTGGCTATGGTAGAGGAAACCAAAATTTATTAGTGTCTTATTTTGAGTCAACCATGTCACGAGGTACCTAAACTGGTATCTCACTTGCCAATTTTACCAAGCTAGTTATGATATGAATTTGCATGATTTTAAATCCCTGTGTCAGTGCGTGATATCAGCCGGAATGATAGCTATAAAGTAAAAGTCATTTCACTAAGTAGATTTACTTTTGAAAATTAAATGAATTACCAGCTAAAGTCATTAATATTAATAAAACAACAACATATGCATTAAGTACATTGTTCTTTACTATTTATTTTGCTTTGAAAATATTTTGGTTCCAATGGAAAAACATCCTTGATGTTTCTCTGCCCTGAACTTTTAATCACATCTCTCTTATTCTTGAGCCCTTTTGAGGCTCTTCCTTCACACAGTGGACATTTTTCAATATCAGAGCAAAAAGGCACAGTAAACTCAATAGACGATGTTGTATACTAAAACTTCAGACAAATAAGGTAGGTTCCCCTTTCCAGGACAGGGAAGCATTCTGATAAAGTTTGGAGGAACTTACTGGGGATTCAGATGAGAAGGCCTTTTGATGGAGTATGGAGGGATAATATATGTATTCAACAAATATTTATGTAGCACCAATTCTGCACTGGGTACTGTTCTAGGTGCTCAGGACACAATGCAAGTAAGAGAAAGTCTCTGTACTTAAGGGGCTTCTATGATATTGGAAAAATAGAAATAGTTGAAAAACAATTAAGCAAACAATCCAGAAATTTCAGAAGTTCATAAATGAAAAGAAATCTAATCACAAGGTCGATTAAGCTAATAAAGGTCAGAGATGCAGATAGACACTTGGGTAGGGTGAGGAGAAGGTCTCTTGGGGGAGGTGATGCTTAAACTGAGACTTGAATGATGAAAAGTAGCCAGTCACTGAAGATCTAGGACAGAAATGCTCCAAGTAGAGAGAATAGGAACTACAAGAGCCAGACGCTGAATGGACTTGGCCCAGGTGATGAGTAAGAAAACCAATATGGCTGAAACAGAGCAGAGGCTCACACAGAATAAAAGAGGAAACAGGATATTCCAGTCAGCAGGAACAACATGATCCAAGACTTGAGAAGTTGGAAAGTATAACTGTGCTGGGAAAATGACAAGGAGAACAGTTGGTAGAGTGTATGGTGTGTGTGTGTGTGTGTGTGTGTGTGTGTGTGTGTGTGACTGGGAATGTGAAAGACACAGCAGAAGATGAGGTGGGAAGATAGGTCAGAGCAAGATTCCTAACTGCCGTGTTAAAGAGTCTGCAATTTATTTGTGGGAGAGGGAACTTTCAACTGGGGTGTGCACGCCTCCTAAATAACATGCAGCAGTTCTCATGTATGTCTGCTCTTATGTCCCAGAGACCTCACAATTCACAAGTATTCTCCAGCGGGAAGCCATTCAGGTCTGTGAAGCGGAGGAGTAACATAATTACTAGTTGAGGTGTGTAGAGGACGCAAAGCATTGGGAGAGGGTACAGTCCAGGAGCAAAAGAAGTTACACCATGGCACAGAGATAGGAAAACCCAGTGGTATCTGGAATCTAAAACCTAGATCTTAGAAAAACTGAAAACACTCCAAAAATCATCCCTAGAAGCTGATAAGACTATGAAGGCCATTCAGTGGGGTACCATTAAAAATGAGAACTATTTCTACATACCGATATGTAGAAATTTCTAGGACTTAAATGGAAAAAGTAGTGTACGTGATATGCTAATTTTGCATAAGAAATAAATCAATACACACATATATGTGCTTTCCTTTATATACAAAAGCAGAAATAAAAATGATGAGAGCAGCAATAAATAATCATGGTAAATAGAAATGGTGGAAATGTTAGGAGTAAAACTTCTCTGACTCGCCCTCTCTTTCCCTCTCTACACACACACACACACACACACACACACACACACACACACATTTTTTTTTTTTGGTAACAGGGATCAGACTCATGACTTCACACTTGCCAGGCAGATGCTTATGCCACTGAACTAAATCCTTTGCCCCTCTGACTATATTTTTTAAAAGTATATTTTGGACCATGGAACCGTATAAATATTTTGCCTATACAAAAACAAAACAAAACAACTCTCCTCCCCAAAACTACCTAAAAATTGAATAAAAGTGACAAACAGAAACAAATGAACACCACTTATTTAAAATAATTCAACCACATATAGTAGCAATTTTTTATCTCACTTTTGCATTCAATTCCCTGACCATACATCCTTGCAAAGTTATCTTCTAAGAACCAAAACATTCACAAAGAAGTCTTAAACTTCTCTCCTTTGGTTTGTTGTTCCCAATGATGTTGCTTTTGTTGGTCAGACAAGAAAACATAATATATACGGAGAGCTAAGACTTTCAGCATGGGAGAAAATAGATGCAAATATAAACAAAGTAAATTAAGAAAAAATAATTGTAAAATTTGAGCTGGAAATATTAGCATAAAGTGCTTCAGTTCCAGTGTGCAAAATTTTTCTGCCCTGGGAAGCTATAGCCTCTTATCTTGAGGCTCTGCATCCTGCCAGGCTCAACTATGTTTAGGGAGACACTGGGGCAGGGAAACAGCAACTGTCGCCTCGCTTCCGAGATTACACATCAGCACCTCAGCCAATCCTATTTACATGGCTTAGAGCCAACTGAAGGGAAAAGGAAATAGCTTAGTTAGCTCTGTACATAACAGTGCACAAAGCTAGGGCTAGGTTTAACCAAAGTGGAGCTAAGTGCTCTTTACTCACGGGAAGTCATCCAGGTGGTCTTTTACATATAAAAAAAGGATAAATTTACCAAAAAATCTTATCATTTTGCAACCCTTACAAAACAACTGATCCTAACAAGGATCACTGATGGTCACTTAAACTATTTGGTAGAGGTAATTTGGCATCAGGATATTTGCATGGTGCTCACATTATAGCTTATATACTAACTGCAAAGGGGCAGCCATCTCACTGTAATTTTATTAGAGAGATTTGGCAATCACTGCCTTAGTCAAGTGACTAAAGTTAGCATAATTAACAATGGGACATAGCAACAGTGTCTTTTGTTGTGATGTGACCCAAAGCATTCAATATCCTCTGCAAAATATTTTTGCCACAAATATTGACTTAGCCACTTGGCCTAAATTTCAGTATATAGGAAATACAAGAGTTGAGAGTACAAGTTAAAACCAAGAGGAAACAGACAAGTTCAAGTCTTCTTCCTCTTTTTTGTTTGATCCAGAGGGCTGGCATCCTATCATCACACTGACAACTGGCCAGAAGGGTAGGCAATTAAGAGGAAGGACATTTGGCAGGCAGGAGCTGGTTGTGAGGTAAGCAGACATGTGAGTCACCAGCCCCCAGCTAAAGATGACAAGCTTAAAGGCAGGGAAGAGAAGGAGGATGGCAAGAACTCAAGGAAGAGACGGTGTGATCTAGTCTTGACTCTGTCACTAACTCATTCGAGGGCTTGTACAAGTTAAATCTCTATTGTTAACTATAAAGGTTTCATTGTCAAGTGAGATAATCGGACAAGGTAGAAATCTGTAAGGGTTTTTCCTATGTAAAATCCCCTGGATCAGAGAACTGTTGGCTCCTACTTTGTCTTCCTGGGTTAGTTTTTGCTAATGGATCTCTTGGGTCTTAGGAAATTATGTTGTCTTCTTTTATTTTATGGAAAAAATAAGATTTCATAATAATAAGAGAATAATAATAGTTAATACATTGCATATTGTTATCCTCAAACTAGTCACTCAGAGTGCAAGATATTGGCATAAAAATTCTCCAAATGATAATAGAACAAACCTTTCTTTTCAATGAACCATGAACCAAGAGAATGATTTTGAAATCTATCTTGTGTATGACCACTCAGCACCTAACCTTAAGAAGATTAGATGTATGAGCGCATGTTAAGAGTAATGAATCAGACAAGAGTTTTTATCACAAACCGAAACAAGTATTTAGGAAGGAAAAATCGGTATCTTTATAGTAATGAGGCTGCTACGGTTTGGACATTGTCTGAGTGTGTCCCCAGATATTCATGCATCGGAAGCTCAGCTCTCTGTGTGGCAGTATTAATAGGTGGTAGGTCCTTGAAGACACGGAAACTACTGGGAGGTCACTGAGGGTGCAGCCCTCAAGGGAAGAACTGATGCCGTTCTTAAGCGATTCTAAGTATTCTCCAGAGTGTTATTATCTTAGGTCATGCTCTGGCTTCTTGTCTTACCATGTGCTTTCTTCCCATTGCATGTGTTCTTGCCATCAAGGTACCGCGCACCATGAAATCTTCCCCAGAGCCAAACTGTCACTACTGCCATGCCCTTGAAGCTATGGAACTGTGAGCTAAATAAGCCTCCTTTCTTTATAAAGTACCTAGTCTTAGATATTTTGTTATAGCAATGGAAAATAGACTTATACAGAGACTTTCGGAAGTGTGTTTATATCCCCGGAGCTAAATTTCTTTATCTGTAAACTGGGATGATAAAGCATACCCAGAGGGAAGCTGTAACAATTCAATAAGATAACTAACCCATCATGTGCCTCTGAATCTTTGGTTTTCTCCTTTCTTCTGGTTTGTCTTACAGAAAGTAGGGGTAAATGAGCCTTCTGGGGTATCTGCTGTTAGGCTGCATTCTGTTATATTTCCCTTAACTTTTCCCTCTGAGGGATGTACTGCCTCTTCTGGTCTGAGAGATGGTCTTGGGAGACCTAGATGACCACTTCCATGATTGCTTCTGCTGCTGCTCAGGGTTACTCTTCCCAGACAGACCCCAGAGCTGCTGATACCCTGAGAAGACATGCCGGAATGGAGAGATTCTGACTCACCAGATGAGTTGTGACAATAGGCCCTGAACTTTTGGTGAGCTTTAGCTTTCCAAATCAGGATGCCTTTCCCATTCTTCCCACACTTGGGGTTCTGGTTAATCCGAGGGATGACAGGGTATTGTTCTGCAACCCATCCATAACTGTAAAAGAATACACACTAGTTGAATGGACTAATGATTGAAAGGCACCATGTCTATTGCTGAACAAGGACACAGAGACAAAGGAACTCTGGCAGCATTAGTGATCTCAGATGTTTCTTACCTGCAAGTTTCGAAGCCAGATAGCAATGCTGTTTCGACTTGGATTTTGCTGGCCAAACTTAGTCCGAGCAGCTTACAGGCTTCCTTGGCTTCTGTGAAATTCAGCTGTGGTTCTATCTTTTTCTGCACAAGGGCGACCCCCATAATTCTGCATGACATTGCAACGAGCTCTGTAAAGAAATCGTTAGGTCCTTATCTTGCTGCTCTTTGTTCCCAGGCCTCGGGTTGCTCTTGCTTGTGGAGAAATACTGTCTGGATGCAGCAGTGAGGTCTGTGTGGCTGGGACTGAATTTAGAAATAACAGGATGCAGACCAGTGATTTCTCAGAAGAGATGGACTGATGGATGTTTGCTCTGGTCTAAGATGTAAATCTCACCAGATGAAAGCCCATCCTATTCCTGTTCACGAAGGTTCCTGATTTATCATATGAGGGTTTTAACTACTGGTTCTTGAGGTGAGGTGTAGGTGATATAGTCACTGCCCACCTTTTTGGAGTCTAAAATGAAGCATCTAAGACTTTGAGAAGGACACAATTCAGAGCTCTGGTTAATAAAAGCTAGCAGTACTAGCAATACTATAAACAAGTGGTGGTCATGCATGCTGCAGGGGGCTGTTTGTGTCACTGAAAACTCTAAAAGTTTGTCATTACTGCTCTAAACCAATGTGGTTGGGTGCACTATTTCTGAAAAGTGCTGAAAATGTTGCACTTGTAGCAGAAAGTAAACTCTCTAGGCTCCAGGTCTTCACTGACCATTGGGGGGCAGGCTTTCTCAGAAGTTCCTGGGGAAGCTGGGCAATACATTTTGCAAGACAGAGAAACTAAATAAAGGAAATGGAGTTTTGCAGTCAGACTATGCTTGGATCTAGCCTCTGCTGGCGCTAGCTCTGTTACCTGGGTTAGTTACTTTCCCACTTTGAGCCTCTGTTTTCTTATTTATAATTTAGAGAATAACACTATCTACTACATAAGATAATAAAAGTTAAATGAATGCTTAGCATAAAAATGATTAACACGGTGCCTACCGCATGGTAGGTATACATAGGTAATCATAGATAACAGGTGACCTTTATCTTATTTTCAAAGTGTTTTGGTTGTAGCCTGGTGATGACTGGTCTTTCTAGGGAAGCTGAAATAGTTGAACTGTTAGGATGTTAATGATATTATCACTCAAAATCGAATGGACTGGGGCTGAGGATTTAGCTCAGCGGCATAAGCACCTGCCTTGCAAGCAGGTGGTCGTGAGTTCAATCCCCGGTACCGATAAAAAAAAAAAAAAAAAATCGAATGGACTTGGGAGCTCTTTTGACCCTTTTGGGTTCTGGGATGTGTAGATCTGTATGAAACTGTCATATTGCATTATATACAAGGACGTTATTCCTGTTGAGCTTTATCTATGAAAATTCCTAAAAGGACATTCTAATTGTCCAAGTAATTGCTTGTGCTGAGCTCTGTGCAGTGGATGCCTAAATGCCTTGATCACTTCTGAGGTTAGTATTTTGAGGCTAGGAACATTGAACCTCTCTTATTTCTCTGTCCATACGACCTTGCTTTGTTCAGAAGAAAGGGATGTGCATATGATGTTCAGTATTTGTGAATGGCTCTGTTTACAATCCGAACTTCCCTCAAGAGAGAGCAGAGCCAACGCCCAACATGACTAGGGTATTAGAACAACTGTGTATGACTGTGTGTACTAATGCTGGTACCCATATAGCAGCACTGACATTAATACTGATAGCAACACCATAGTGATTCTGACACCTGTCTTCTGTTGGTCTTACTCTGCAAGCAAATTTTGCTTTTTTTTGTACTGGGGATTAAACTCACGACCTCATGCTTGCAGAGCAGGCACTTATGCTTTGCTGTGCTAAATCCCCAGCCCCAACTTGCCTTTCTTAAGAGAAAAATTGAAGCTCAGAGAGATTAACTTTTCTAAGATCAAAGATGTATAGGAATTTGGTGGAAGATTGGGAGCATAAACCCATTTTTGCCTGACTCCGAAAACCCAGGTTGCTGGGTGTGGTGGTGCACACCTGTAATCCCAGCATTTGGGAGACTTAAGCAGGAGAATCACTGTGAGTTTGAGACCAGCCTGGGCTACCTAGTGAGCTCAAGGCCAGCCTGAACTACACAGGGAGATCCTGTTTCAAAAAGAAAAAAGAAATACCCAAGTTAATTATGATGTTGTTCTGTTTTCCAGGTACCACAGAAAGACAGACAGACAGATAGGCAGACAGGCACATACACACAATTACCCACTTGTTCTGGAATTTGACTCCTTTATCTCAGAAGATTATTATTGCTCCGACCCTGTATGGTGGCTTCTTTGGAAACTGACTGTACATTCTTGTAAAATTAAACACCACAAAGTTACAACTAATCTTTACTCTAATCATCATATAAAGTAATGATAGAGGTATTCTGGATGAATATAGTTAGCTTTAGATACTTTGTTAATTGGCTATTTTGAGGACGTTGGGAAAATCAGTATTGTCATCTGTAAAGTGGGAATGATTATATCTTTCCAGGATTTTTATTTGGAATTAAATGAGATAACTTGTACCTAGCAGAGGCTAGATCCATAGAAGGTATTCAAAAAACATTAATCAATTATGCTTTTCTATTTCATTTAAAGATAAGAATAGAGAGCTGCAAATTGACCACTTCCTCAAGATTTCTTAGAAAACAGCAAGTATAGTGGGAATAGTATACACTTAGAGCCGAATTCAATTCCAAAGTGCTTACCACCTGCATGACACTGGGTAAATTACTTGGCTGCACAGACTGTTTTTGCATCTGTAAAATGTTTTCTTGAGAGAATTAAATGAAACTATATCTACTTCTCTATCAATATCTATGTATCTGTCTCTCTGCATAATAGACCTTCAAAAAGTTCTATCTCCTTCTGTTCACCTTTATCGGCGCCTGCTTCTATAGTCATGCTTATGATAACTTGAAACTCCTTCTAAAAGTTTAACTGTTAGGAAATTTTTGCCATCAAGAATGGTGTAATCTCTCTTAGTTCTTCAAAAAGAACAGTTAGTGCTGTCAATGTTTGATTGATCACTTTTGTATCTAGATTTTGCAACCGAACAACTAGTTCTGAGATAAAAATGTGCAACATATTAACTACTGTTAATTCCCTACTTTTTTCTTTTTTGAAATTCTGTATCATTTCTATCCTTTTTTTTCTGTTTTACTCTATAAAATAAAAAAATTAAAAAGGAATGGTGTAAGGAGTATGATGCAGTCATTTTCAAGGAACAATTTCCAAAATAGTTTTAGTAGTTGTGGAGAAAAGGTACTAGCTCCTCCAGGGGGATTTCAAAGAGGACCAGGTTTATTTAAAAGCAACAGTTCTGGTATTTGGAAAAAATCTCAATCCTGTAACTCAAGCCTGTCTTGTAAAATTAAAGTACAATCTATAAATCAACACTGAATGTCTGTTCCTGACATAATTTATTTCTAAGGGCATCTTCCCAGCAGAGGAGCAAACAATCTTCCCTTTAATAAAAGTGCTCAGATTTTCATCTGCCCAAAGCTATAATAAGTGATTTGTGGTTACATATTTTTTTCCTACAGTGCAGAGTAAGTTTTCCATTTAGGCATCTCCAAAGCTCAGAAATTCCTGTAGGTCATTCCTCTGGTAGGGAGCTGATGGCAAATTTTCAGAACCTATACTGTATGTTCATAATTTTTTTCAGTTTATTTACTGCATATTAAAAACTCTGCATCCCATTTACAGATAGTGAACTTGAAATTAAAATAATTATGTAGACAATTCTAAAACAATAAAATTAAGTTGATATTTACTGGAAGTTACCCATTTTTTTCTAAGGCTTAGACCATTGTTTTAAATTTTTCACAATCATAGTTTGTTTCTTAAATGAGACATCTTTAAAATATTTCTTCTTGATGTTTTATTTTAAAATATGAGCATTAAACTAAAAAGAAGAAAGTCAAAGTTATATCATGTACAGGTACAAATTCCCTATGACACATGTGATCATTATGTATACTTAAAATGTACCAATAAACTTAATTAATTAAAAATGCAATGGATTCAATTCTTAGAGCCGCCAATAAAAAAGTGTTAAAATGGAAAAAAAATACTCCAAAACAAAAAATAAAAGTCACAATGATATAAAAGTAAAGCCTAAATCGTTTTGATGAAGTTGAAACTTAACATTCCTGGCTAAATAATACTACCAAGTAGAACTTCTGTTGACCTTGAAGGTTGTCCCTGCTCCCAGAAGCCCGTAGTTACAATTGTAGTGGGCAGAGGACAGTTTCCAAGACCTTGCTTTGCCTCAGCTTGCAGATCTGGTAAGAAACCTACCTTGTACTCGGACAGAGCCTTGGACCAGAAGCCTAGTGGTCCATACGGAGGCAAGAAGCAACACCAGGTTGAAGTACTTGGTCATTGTGCCAAGTCCTGAGAGCCACGGGGGCACTGCAGATGGCCACACGCAGTAAGGCAGGCGGGTGTTCAATCACCAGGCTGGGTGGAGAGTCCTGGAAATATGTGGAAGCTCCCACTGCTCTACTTCATAACGGAGACATCCGGATTTCCCTCTTTCAAGCTGTCACTTGTCAAGGTCACTGGGGAAAATGAGTGATGTCCCTAGAATGCCCAGGCTGTACTTTGTGGTTGGCTTTCTGGAAAATTTAGTTAGTGCTGACTCAGAAAACATCCAAGTGAGGAAGGCAGATAGCAGAGCAAGCTGCTGCAAGTTTTCTCAGTTCCCATATTCCAGGTCCCTGGCCTGCTCCGGGGCTCAGTGCTCCCCTGTGCTTTGTTACTGCCTATGGAGCCCTTTCATTCATTTATTCCTGGAAATGTCCGTCTCTGAAAAGACTGAGCGTGGCTTGTGCTTGTCTCCCTCTCACAATCAGTGAGTTTCCCCCTCAGTTGCATTACTTGTAGAACACAGGAAAATGATTTTGAGGCTCATAAAAGTAAATGCCCACTTAAATCCCATTCCTTCCTTTGGGACGTGTGTGTGTGTGTGTGTGTGTGTGTGTGTTTATTATACACTGGCTTTCTCAGTATCACCACAGGGGATCCTTTTTCAAATAAACCAGACACATATAACAGTTCATATTTACAAAACATAAGGGTACGGTTTACAAAATTAATCATCTTAACTTTAGCTTTAACAGATTTTCATTTTCATTTTGTCTTTTTGAGGCAGGGTCTCACTATGCCATTTAGGCTGGCCTTGGGCTCACTTTGTAGCCCAGGCTGGTCTTGAATTTGCAAGGATCTTCCTGCCTCAGCCTCCAGAGTGCTGGAATTGCAGGAATGTGCCACCACACCTGACTTACAAAAGAATTTTGACTTTACCATAGTAGTCACCATAGGAGCTCTTCATATAACTTTTTCTTTAGTAATTACCATTGTATTTCGAGGGATTAGAGTGAGTGTAGACTCCAACTTTCTCACCTGAGGAATGCGAGGATATCTTCACCATGCACAAGCAGAATGCATACTGATTTCCCAGAAGAGTTTTCAGGGTTGGCTCTCATAGTTAAGGACGGAGCTCTAGCTTGCAAGCAATGCCTACAGCAGAGTTTTATGCAAAATGAGTATCATTGATAGAAGTAGTATATTAAAAACTAGGGTTTTTTTCTATGGAAGTAATATCACAAAGTTATATATATCTGTGCAGAAAATAGTACAGAAAACAACAAAAAGAAAATGTCTTCTGCACAAACACAGGAAACATCCAGATATCAGGAAAGAGTCCCTAAATATCTCCCAACAGACTCATTACTGTTTGGAGCCACAGGCTCTAGGACCTCAGAAAACATCTGTGACTCTGTCACCATTGTACCAGGCAGAGAGCTGGAATTGTGTCTTCTTCATTGTTGTCCTGCTGCTCACCTAGCACCATGAAAGAAAGCTAGTTTTCCAAAATTTGTCAGTACAGAAAGAAAAGAGGAAGAAAAAATGAATCATGGGCAACAAGGCATGAGAGAAGATATTTGATTTTGGGAACACATGGCCAGGAGGGAAACTGTTGGAGAAAGGAAATCTGCATGATTGCACTGATGCTTTATGAGTTTCTGGAAGTAGGAACAGTTTTATTTTTTATATCCCCACTGAGAAAAGCTGCACTGCCTTTGGAAAGTGATTGGAGATTCCTGATTGGAACTAGCTGCTTCTCTTGTTAAGTGAAAATACCTTCTCACTCAGCTTCTAGGCCAGTGGTGGTGACCCTGTGGCACCCATGCCACAGCGGGCTGTTTGTATCATTGAAAGCTCTAAAAGGTTTGCTGTCACTGTAGGCTGTTAAGCACGGTGGGTTTCAGGAGAATTTGATGTCCGGAACTAAGAGCTGGAGAGCTATTTAAAAGCATTGCCAGACAATCTCTCCCCAGCACTCAGAGGCAGAATGTTCAGGCTAGGAATAAAAAAAGACACGTTTCTGTCCTTTTCTTTATAACTGCTCAGACTGTCATCGAGGATAACCAATAACTAAGGAAGAAAGTTGTACAACTAGAAATTCATCAAATTAAAGGTAAATGAGGAGAACAATAATCAAACTTCAAGGGAGAGCAGGAAGTGTGTCATATCCAGGCCAATTTTGTTATAACCTGGTTATGGAGAATTAGAATAAAAGTCCATAAATCACCAAACCTGATATGAAAGACTGAACTTAACTTAGAAGTCATGGATTTTGAGCTTGATGAAATGTTACACTGCTCATTTAACCTGACGTATACAATTACACATACAGATGCACCTTATTCCTCGTATCTAGATGTTCCCCTTTACAGCTGCTGGCTACTTCCTGCCGTCCACACCCATGAGCGGTTTCTTCATTGTGATTTCTTCCTGCTGTGCTTCCCTCCTTGTCTTGGAACCAGCTGACCATGGACTGAAACCTATACAAATTGTGAGCCAAAATAAACCTGTCCTCCTTTGACTTTGGGTGTTGGGAGTTTTGTCTCAGCAATAAGAAAAGTAACTGAGACAGTATGGTAGACATTTTGAAATGCAGCATGAAAGAAGGAAATAAGGTACAATCCACAGTCCTGAATTGAGGGTGGTATCAATTTTAATATCTAATAATTTGTGTCATCTTGAGCAAGTCAGTGAACTGCTCTGGGACTCAGTTTTGTCATCTATTAAAGAAGTTAACCAAATTAAATGAACTTAAAAATAACATAGCAATATCATGCTATGATATCTCATAGTGCAAGGGTTATTATTTTTATTATCTTTTGCTACTTGTTTATTTATTTATTGGTACCAGGGATTGAACTCATAACATCACACTTGCCAGGCAGGTGCTTATGCCGTTGAACTAAATCCCCAGCCCTTTTTTGCTTTTTAAACATACAATTAACTTTTAAAAATATACACAGGAGAATCCATGTGTTTTACATAGGAATATATACATTAACAAAGCATCTTATACTTTTCCAAAACTCTATTATATCAGTCTGAAATTTATAAATTAGATATATAAATTAAATTTATAAATTAAATATATCAGAATTTTTCAAATGAAATACCTGAAACTACTAGATATGCTAGACTTTTTCCAAAATGAGATGAACAGAGAATATGAATATGGTTTGTGTTAAATAAAGTTTATTGCTTATAGGTTCTAAGATGCAACTTTGTTGTGCCTTTGCAAATAGGACACATCTCTTAAAAAACTGATCAAAAGTTCCCATAATACAGCTCTACATGATAGGTTACAGTGCAACACTGTTCTTCCTATATAATTATAGAAACACTACAGAGTCCAAGAGCACAGGGTGAGCAAAAGAAATACAATCCTGAGCCATCTGAACAAGATGATTTGATGAATCTACAAGGATTGTTTTTAAAAGTATGTATAGGTGGGCAAATGTAATAGTCAGTGTTGCCTAGCTGCTGTAACAAGTCACCCCAAATCTCAAAGGCTCAGTAAACTAAAAGTGTATTCATGTCACAATCCAGTGGTTGGCAAGTGGTGCTGGTGCTGGTGGTAATAGTGGGGTGTATGTGTAATGGGGAGATTTGACTGCTGCAGCTAGTTCAGGGACAGAGCCTCATTCCATCACTCTCCACATTATTCCACTATCACCTAGTGCCTTTGACTCTCTGCAAGGTCCTCACTTGGAGTCAGCCACCAAAGAAGGAGTGAAGAGGAGTGAAGAGGAGGCTGAAGCTGGAGACTTTTAGGGGCCCGGCTGGGGATACATCACTTCCACCAATAGTTCATCAGTCAGGACTTCGTATCGTATTTCTGTCTAACTGCAAAGGAATCATAATCTAGTTGTATGCCATGAGTAAAGGGAAAAATAATTTAGTGAACACAGACACACAATTTACCCTTCTGATCACCCACTATTGGGATCACTGTTCCTCCCACAGGTAGAAAATAGTACAGTGGTGTTGGGGACCACTACCCAGCAGCTCTGAGCAGGATTTAAATTTTACCAATTGGCTTTCTGTGTTTATCTATGAGTCTGTCCTGGGCCTCGGCCCCTTGCCTGGTGATGGGAGCTGACTCATAGTAAGTGAACCTCTATGAATCACTGGTCCTGGCTGAGACCTACAGCAGCCTGTGAGGCCAGAGATACCTCAAAGGGCAAGAGAAGGCCACAGCTGAATATGCCTTGGCTCCAACACTAATTAAGTAAGCTGCAGGCATCTCGCTGCTGCAGTCTCAATCCCACCATAAATGTTATCTTGGAGATAAGATGGTTGTCCTAATTTGGCTTAACTTACTACTTGGGGAAATCTTGGAAGTGACCCCCAGAGATCCTGCTCATTTCCTGTGCTTTCCTCAGTTTCCCTGCCTTTTGTCTTAGTCCTAATAAAAGTGGGCTAATCCAGGAAATGCTTCGTCATAGCCCTTGGAGTCATGAGCTCAACTAAAGGGGTTTGACCCTCCTGGAGTCCTAAAAATCCTACAGTTTGTCTTTTTTTATTTAACCTCCATTGTACATTAATTTGGAAGATCGAGGATCTAGGTCAGGACTTGATACAGTGGTACCATTCTTTGTTTTCTTTTCTTCTTTTTTTTTTTGGTCTTTTTCCTTTTTATTGGTACCAGGGATTGAACTCACGACTGCCTGCTTGCAAGGCAGGAGCTTATGCCGCTGAGCTAAATCCCCAGCCCCCTGTTCTTTGTTTTCAAGGGAAGCAGTTGAAGGTTCTGTCCAGCTCAAATCCACACTCTCCAAGTTAGTCTCAGTCTTCTTTATCAAGTTTATGGCACTTTATAATCTGGTGACCTATAAACTAAAAAAAAATGCACCCCCCCTCCCCACACACAAACACAATGGTGAAGCAGAACCTTGATAGCCTCAATAAAATTTTCCATGTGTAAAAGGTCCGGAACCACACAAATCATCTGGTCATAGTAGTTCTGGAATACCAATGAAGAGACACTACTGTGGACTGGCTGTGGGTTGAGCATCCCCCAAGGGTCTATTGTGATCAGTGGCTTGTCTCCAGGGTGGCAATGTGTGGCAGTAGTAGAACCTTGAAACAGGACCAGTGTGATGCCCATAGGTCATTGAGGAGTATGAGGTATCTCTTATGTGAAGCCTTTAGTAGATTTCACAGGGGGTTATACAAAGAGTAAGTCTGATTAATCTTCTTTTTCTGTGCTTCTTAGCTTGACATGTAACTGCCAACTCCAACACAAAGTATATCCATTGCCTTCACCATTCACCATGAGGTCCTTGCCAGAGCTGACCTGATACAGGTACCATGCTCTTGAACCTCTAACACAGTGAGCTAAATAAACCCCTTCTTCTTCATAAGTATTCTGGGTCAGGTACTTTGTTATAGTGATGAAAAACTGAATAATACAGCCATTGGATCAGTTTTCTATTGCTGCATAACAAATTACCATGGACTTAGTGGCTTAAAACAATACCCATTTATTATTTTATGGTTGCTGGGGATTCCTGGTAGGTCCTCTCTAGGAAAGGACATCTCCTATTGAAGCATACAGGCTGAAATCAAGGTGACACCAGGGCTAGGTTCTTGCCTGGAGGCTTTGGGGAAGAATCTTTTCCAGACTCACTCACTTGATGGCAGAATTCATTTATCAGAGGTTGTAGAAATGATGTCCCTGTTCCCCTCCATGTTCCAAGCAGCATGATACAGAGTCCTCCTCATTCTCTACTCTCTGACTTCTACTTCTATCATGAAGTACCAGAGCAAGCTCTCTGTCTTAAAATGTGGACCCACATGGATAACCTCCTTACCATAAGGCCAACTGTACCATCTAATGGAACATAAAAGTAGGAGTTACATCCCATATTCAAAGGCTCCATGGATTGAGGTGGCATAGCTTTGGGGAGTCACTTCAGAAATTCTACCTAGTGGAGTCACTTGTCCTTGATTAGTTCCTGATTCTGTTTCTGTTCTCTATGGCCCTTGCCTTCCCTCTGGGAAGCCTTTCATTATGCGTAATTGTCCTTGGACATGCTTGAAACAGGTATTAAGGAATATGCTCTCCTCATAGAAAGCATGGCTTTTGCAGCCTGCTTCCTGCTGGTGTAAGTAGAGAATCCCCAAAATTGTCTTATAGCTTGAGCAACAACTGAAGGAGATTTTAATCCTGGTTTGTGTTTCTCTGTAAATGTGATTTTCTTACAAACTTAGTTGTCTGATGTATTTGCTTCCATGCACCAATAATCATATTCCAAATCCTCTCTAGTCATTATTCTATAATGTATTTCTTTGTTTTCCTCTCTTTCTCTCTCTCTCTTTCTCTCTCTCTCTTTCTCAGTCATTCTCTCTCTTTGCCTTAATGGTGACCACACAAAATCCACTGAGAACACCAAATGGAAAGGTCACATCCTAAATCTATTCTTTGCCAAGACTAAGTTGATCTCTTCAAATGAGAAATTTTCTCAGTTCTTTTCCTCAAAGCTCTTATCAGTCTGTTTGGGATTTGTAAGGACTCTAATTCTTTAATCCTTCAAAGTCCTGAATTCTCTGTATTATTTTTCAGTTTTCTTCTATCCAATTTTTTCCTAAGTGCTTCTTTCTCTTATAATATCTTGAGTAAGATTGTAGCTGCATCCCACAGAATGCAGAGGCATCTGGCTGTTGCTCAAGTTGCTTTTATTTTCAAACTCAGGAATGTGACACTCTACAGTTGATGCTAGCACACCCCAGTGACATGCAAACCCAGCATCTCCTTCATTCACTCTGTCAGGTTGCATACAAGGAGCAATACATATGGCCAGTAGAGGATTACAAACTCCAACACTTCATTCCTTCCAACCACACTTCCAGTGATGGGCTACCAATGGGCTGCTTTTCAACTTATTGTAGGTAAGACCTTATCAAGGATTTTTGTTTTAATCACTACATGGTTCACCATATTTCCAGCCCTCGATGTTAGATTGTTTCTGATACTAAGCTACTGTTTAGCCAGCCAGTTTTCACATTGCTGGGACTTAATACCTAACATCCATCACTTAAAGTAGGGAAGTTTAACTTGGCTCACAGTTTTAGGGGATTCAGTGGTTTTAGACTGTCTCTGAGGCAGAAATATCGTGGTAGAAGTGTGTGGGGAGCAAAGATGCTTGGTTTACGGTGGCTAGGAACCAGAACAGAAGGACAGTGCCAGAGGGCAAGGGGCCAGAGACCATACATGGTACCCAAAGACGTGTCTCCATGACCCATTCAGACACAAACAGAAATTTCCGTCACCAATCCCCTGGACAGCTCCCAAAACATTCACACTGACACAACGAAGTTTAACCATCACAGTCACTAGCTTTTGGAATTTTGGAATTTTATAAAAGCACATTTTGAGTTCAAAAATACACCTTAGCCAAGGTAGGTTAGTTGCTATCACAAACATTGCTGAATCTCAGTCACTCAACAGGCTTGTATTTTACTTCTTGCTATGTCACAATTTGATGTGGTATTCATCAAAGACCCTGCTCTATCCTGTGGTTCTAGCATCTTATCAAGTTTCATAGATCTCAACATAATGCTCATTTTGGTACACACAAAAAAAGAAAAGGATGTGTAGTACTGGGCAGGATATTTTGTTTTAGGAAACTAGATCACAAAGGTCCACATTCCCCTGTACCTGGCTACAAGAAAGATAAAAAATATAGGCAAGCTGTGGAAATGTGGTTATTTGAATTTTAGTAGTCTTTATTATAGCAAAGTATATTTTAGAAAATCATAGGCCAGGAAATCACAGGAAACTAGGACTAGCAATGGGCAAGGAATAAACAAGAGGGCCTGACCAGCTTCTGCTGGTAGCTATAGTACAATGATCCAGTGCCTGGGTACCTCTGCTTTGTTCTGGAAGGCATAAAATATTCAAAGGGGTCTGATTCAAGGTTGGAGTAAGATTGTGGCTCAGCTCCATGAAATGAAGAGGCATTTGGCTGCTGTACAAGGTTTGGAAATGTGCTTTTATTTTCAAACTCAGGTATGTGACACTCTACAGTTGATGCTAGCACACCCGTGTGAGGTTTAACAACATTAGGAACTGACAGCCAGTGATATGCAAACCCAGCATCTCCTTCATTTACTCTGTCAGGTTGCGCACGAGGAGCAATACATATATGGCTTTGTCGTGGTCCGAAAGTGAAGGTCCTTTTAGGAAGTGACATCAACAATGGTGCAAACAACATATAGTATCTCTTTGCAATTGCAGGTAGGCAACCAGACTTCTTGGGCTAAGCAGAAATGTCAGATTTCAGAGGCAGTTTGAGGGGAACTTTATTTCAGATTGATGTCACTTTGGAAATACAGGGCCTGTTCCCGTTTTGTAATTGCTTTGGCAGCAGCTGCAACTGCATCAGGTTGATTTTTGCTTTCAGTCCTTGTAAGTATGGCTACTCATGCTACCTCTCAGAAATGCCCTTTTCCCAGACTTCTCTCATTCTAATGGAGCAGTGAGGTAAAGGCCTCTGCCCAGGGCTCTCTCAGGCTTTCCTGGGAGATTACTGGAAATGCAGGAGCTCTCTGACCCTGTTCTTGCCTTGTCTCACTTGGAAATGGGGTTGGGAAACCTGGGCCAAGTGGACAAAGGGCCAGCTCAGCCTAGTTGTTCTTTCAGAGAGGTCAAGATTGGCTACTTAGAGTCCACCTCAGGGCCACTGTCTCTGGATCTCCATTCATATCCTGTCTCAGGGGGCTCATGAAGCTAAAGGTCCTTCAGTTGTACATGGCCCTCTGGAAGAGGCTAGGTAAATCTACTTATGTCTCCAAAGTCTCTCTGCCTTAATCTGCAACTCTTGACCTTAACGGCACATCCTTGGTCAAGCCTGCTATTTCACTCAGCCATTCTCCAGCCACTGGTAATTTATGCACCCCCCCCCTCCGTAAACATGTGGTTTTAAAGTGGGACCTAGTCTATGGGGTCTCCCTGAAGGGAGTGATTGCATTGAGCCCAGTCTTTGAGCTTGGTAATGGTGTTGCTGCTAGCCTGGTTTCATTCTTATTCTCTCAGAGTAGACTAAGGAATACTAGAGTAATCTTAGAGCAAGAAAACTATCTTTTCTCATGGAGATGGAGTGAGGATGGTGCCAATATTGGGAAAATCACAAAATACTAGCTGTCCCACAGTGCTCTCCACCACTTGGAATGTTTGCTTGTTCTTTTGACCAACATTTAAAGACACTCTCCCAAGCATCAGCCACCATGTTAGGCACCTACCCAAGAGATGGGTAAAACATGGTTCTTGTCTTTGAGCAAGAATGCTCAGAGAGACAGATACATAAATAAGTTATGGTGATAGATTGTAGGTACAAGTCAATGCCAAAAATACTTGACAAGTCCCAGAAAGCACAGAGGAGGGTGTGACCCATTTTGTGGGGAGTGTGGTGGGATCTCATGAAAGTCTGTAAGGAATGGTAATTTTTATACTTGGTCCCCACGAGTGACTAGAAGAGAAAAATTCAGAATAAAAGTACAGAGGTGGGAGAAAAACAGTTTAGTTTGAGAACCAGAGGTGGTTAGGAGGGCTGAGGGGCCAGCTGGTAAATGGAACCTGAAATGTAAGGCATCCAGCTAGGAGACCCTGGAAGGAGCAGTTATTTAGTGCAGGCCGAGGAATGCGGCCCCTGCAGCCAGCTTCATGATTTACTAGCTGTGTGTTCGCACATCTTTTTGTTGTGTTTCAGCGTCTTTATCTGAAAACACGACAAGAAAATATCTACACAGAGGAATTTTCTTACGGTGGAAGTGAATTAATACACACAGAACACTGAGAATAGTGCTTGGATCATAGTAAGTTCTATATGAGTGTTAGCAGCAGAAGCAAACAATAACAAAAACAATCACAACAGAAGCCATCCGAAAACCAACATCCCCTGTTCCCCCCAACTGATGAGGACAGACTGAAGACAGTGGCTGAAAAGATTGGGGACAGACATAAAACTGGAGATGGGATGAGCTTCTTCATTCAATACTGACTAGCTGGGCATATTCTGAAGCACACCCTTGGGCGGGGAATCCCATCTGAATGGAAGCCCTAAGGTGCAGCTGCCTGTGCAGGTGAACACCACACAGAATGAGAGGGCTGAACTCAGTGTGCAACAACTGAGACAACTGCTTTCACAGGGAGAGAAAAAGTAGGAAATAGATCGCACTGTACAGCAGTTTAGACTTGGCATTTGGCGTGGAAACCAGCAAGTTTGCCATTACAACCATAGGGTTTTGTGTTTTCCAAACACCTTCAGTCCGTGCAGAGAGCTCACTGTACAGTGCCTGGTCACTTCCCCACACAGTGAAAATCGCTGAGTAGGTTTGACACACATCTTTCTTGCCCATAGCACATACCCAGAACACACATTCAGGGGGTTGTTGACTTCATGCACATGCATGCATCTAGTGTGTCTGTCTTGTCTGCATGTGTACAGACTCGTATATATTAATTCACATTTTCCCATTTCATTTCAAGCACTAAGCTATACATTTTTCCCAGAAAACTTTCCTACTCTGTGAAAAGAAACTGATTCCCAAGGAGGGAAGGAGAGGCCAAAGGATAGCCATGGAAAATGAGATGGGACGTGGGAAGATATTCATGCTGGGACTCCAAATTCCAGGTCTGATCCTTAGTGTCAGTACTAGCTGCTAAGCACAATTCTTCCTGATAACCAACTGCAGAAAGGAAAAGGGGTAGAGTGAGCTTCTTATCATCCTCCTCATGGAAGGTGTTTCAGTTCTCCCCTGCCATCTGAGCTAGGGACAAGAGACCATCTCCTTGGCTAGAGCTCCTCGGTGTAGGTCACTTCTTTGTCCATAGGAGGCTTTCCCAGGGCAGTTTTGTTGATCCTCCAGGAACATCATGTTACTGTGTATGAATAGCTCCCCAGAGGTGCCAAGTATGAAAAGAAGGCCTCCTTGTTCCCTGATGAGGGGGTGGTGTCACACTTGGGCCTGATACATTCATTATACTTGGGGGCTGAATACACTGGATCATGGCATTGACTAGGAATCAAGTTTCCTATTGCTCTGTAGGCTGCTCGTGTTGGAGTCCTGAGCTCCACCAGGAGTCCCTCTGGGTTGCCGAGCAAGTGGACCTTTCAAGGGGCCCATCGGCTTGCTCCGCACAAGAGTTATAGGAATTGTAGAGCCCCAGCACGATAGTCAAGATCAGCATCACTGCAGCCATCATCCAGATCACTTGCCAGTGCCGACACAGTTTGGGATACATGACTTGCAAGAAATGGACCAATTGTTCAAGTTTGCTGTCAATGAAAAAAATAGGTGGAGGATTTTAGTGTGCTTACATATATAATTCCTGAGCCTATTCCTCTCTTCCTGGGGTTATCTTCTGTGCTTTCTAGAGCAACAGTTCTTAAACCCAGCATTGCATAGAATCAGGCAGCAAATTGAAATACTCTAGGCTTTCAAAATGATAATCTCCAAAATTATGATCTAAGAATCTATAGTCAAGTTGCCTTGGTGATTTTGATGCCACCCAGTCCCTACCCTTGATGGTTGGAGCAAGTGGTCCAGAACATTCTGACTTGCTTGATCACGCATCCATTCACTGATTTCCTCATGACATGACTATTAATATCTGCACTGTCCTGAAACTATGGTACTAGGTTGGCTGATTCATATTCTCATGGATCCAGACAAGACCATATCTTCTCTGCATTTGGCTGTATTAGTGATCAGTTCCAAGTTTGAAATTGTCTCTTGGCTTGATACTAAGGCATACTTGTTCTCAGTTCTACCTCCAATTGCATCCACAGTAGAAAAAATGTGCTCAACTCTCAGAAGCAAACTGATTTCTGGCGACAAAAGACAAAGGATTGGATCAACCTCAAGAGCTGCCTTCAAACACCCCAAGGGCAGCCAGGAGACTGTTAACTTCTGGGTGGCTCATTTGAGATGTTTTCGCATCCTCATTCTATTCATCCTGTAATTTCTTCCCCCCCTTTTTTTCTTTGCTCTCTTCTCTTTCTCCCTTTCTTGCCTTTCATTTCTCTCTGCTTTGTGCTTCTTTCCCTCTTCAATTTCGCTCCTTTTTTCTATTGCTTCTTCCCAGCTGCTTTCCCACCTATCCTCTTTGCATGTGGCCTAGTAAGAAGACATTCAGTTAAGGCTCCGTATCTCTCTGCAGAAGCCCTGGACACTTTATCAAGCTAGAATTTCCTCCTGTTTTTAATGCCAGGCTTTTAAAGTTATGAACAATGAGAATATTAAAGTTTCCCAAACCAAAGAGTTGGGAACAAGTCAGAAGGTCTCCTTGCAGACCCTGGGGCTCATACACCCGAAGCACTACACAGGCCAGCTGCTGAGAAGCAGGGAGCACCAACACAGAGCCAGCAGAACTGATGGCTTGCCATGGACTGGAACCCTAACAAATACCTTCCTTAGAAAGGATGCCCAGAGTGCTTGCCTCAGAGGCTAATGCTACAGGAACAGTGATGGGTTTCTTAGCTATGTGGGAACCTAATCAGGTCATTTTCGCAATTGAGCAAAGCAAAAGAACATGATCTGATGTGAAAATCATTAGCTATTTTCACAACTGTTAGGGAGAGCTTAGAAATGCAAGCTTATTTTCTTTCAGTTCCATTTAGAGTCTTTAGATTCTCTTTAATTTTTTCTTTTTTTTTGTCTTTTTCATTTTTTATCGGTACCAGGGATCGAACTCACGACTGCCTGCTTGCAAGGCAGGCGCTTATGCCGCTGAGCTAAATCCCCAGCCCGATTCTCTTTAATTGAATGCCAAAATGGAATCATGCCTTGATGGAGCATGGAGCTGCATTTCCATGCTCAAAACAGACTTCCAGGGTGGGGAGAATCTCTCTCTAAATCTACTCTTTAAGTGAGACTACAAAAGAGGAAGCCAAAACCTGGCTTTGTGATCCTTACTTGATCACCCATTTCTAGCTTATAAGAGAGGTTAGAAATAGAATTAAATATTTGGTTGTTGAGTGAACGTCTGTTTTTTAAGAATTATTGGAAAAATGAAGGGTCTTGCCTAAATATCATTTCATCTCTGTAGAGCCAGTTTGAACAGGTGGTGGGAGAGAATACAAACTGTTATGTTGCACATATGAGTCCCAGTTGTTCAGTTATTACATGAATTTCAGAAGACTGTTAACTATTTTAACATTGTTAAAATATTGGGTTGATTCACCCAAAATTCCTTTAAACTGAAGGTTCCAGAGTGAAATATTTATAACAGATTCATAACAGATTATATTCTTCCATATTATAGAGAAAAAACTTAGATCAAAGATGTTTGATGTTGAATCTCTTAAATAAGGGCCAGGTGTTGGGCTTAGCACAGTTTTTAGGATACACTAAGTAGGACATGGAACATTTGGTAATTGTGGACTTTGTTATCAAGGTGCCAAACTTTCACAAGGACTCATGTTTGAGTAAGGTGCTTGCTGGCCACTCTGGCCTAAGGGATTAAAGTGGATAAGGACCACAAGCCACTGAAGGTGACAGCTTCTGACCCAGACTGGCTGCACGTGAGGTCATTATGACCATCAGTGGGAAGTTTCTATGACTGCACTGTCAACCTTTAAAGAGATGATGATTCCATACTGCTGAGCCTAAAAAGGTGAGATCACACCCCTTGCAGAAGGATGAAGACACTTCTGAGGGTTCTGCTCAAGCCTGCTGTCCCCTGAGGAACAGGTATATTCCCAACATCAAAAGTAAATGTGGGAGGAAGCAAAAAATGTGAGACAAAGCAAAGCTCCCAGAATCAGTAGGACCAATAAGACTCCCTTGAGTGGGCTGGGGATTTAGCTCAGCGGCATAAGCTCCTGCCTTGCAAGCAGGCAGTTGTGAGTTCGATCCCTGGTACCGATAAAAAAGGAAAAAGACAGAAAAAAAAAAAAAAAAGACTCTCTTGAGTGATACTGTTACAAGCAGCCATTCTCAAGTGCTGATGACCAGCTGGGGAGCAAGGGACCCAGCCAAAGTCTCATTTTGAGGTTTCACGAGAGGAGGGACTGCCAATGGCCTGAGACTGAATTGGCAAGATAAGGCCTGTGCTTTTTAAACCAGGCTGCTTATATTTCATGTACTCTCTTATTCTGTTTATTTCTCTTTTGTTCTTTCTCTGTGTTTGGAAGTGTTAGTTAGAACTTCCAGCCTGTCTTAGCCACATTCAGGGTGCCAAGCGAAGGACTTCTGTCCAGGCTTGGGAATGATGAGATTAAGGGGAGGGAGAGTGCATGGTGGCCTGAGAAACAAGAGCTGAGGGCCCTGAGGTGGAGGAGAAATGTAAGGAGCATAAGATCCAGCTGCTTGGGTAGGAGCTGTGCTTCCATCACTAAACTTGAGGTTCTCCCATTCGGGGAGGTAGTGTACCCCAGCAAGTCTTATTCTCAGCGGGGATACATTTCCCCACTCCTCCCTGATGGCTCTGCCCTTACGTAGTGGGGTTGACCTAGGCAGGTTGAGACTGCTTACTGGTTGAGTTTTCCACAAGTGGGCTCTGTGGATGGCTTCTGCATATTTTGTGCCATAGCCATCTTGCTTTTGGTCTTCAGTTTATTACTTTATTCATTGTACGTGGCTGATTTCCACCATTTGCCAGCAAGGGTGCACAGTCACATACCCTTTTCCATGTTCAGCAGCTGAATAGATAATGAATCATTTTGCCCAGATCTGCTGTGTACCCCAAGATAGCCTGGGGACCTAAAACAGATTTTAATGAAGTGTTCCAAGGTTGCTATAGCTACACTTTTAAAATCAAATTTGTGGTTTAAATGTACAGATACAGACAACAGAAAAGAATATATGAAATTAGGCTGTCCTGAGAAACCAGGGTGCTGATGTGACATCTATTAGGGCAGAGTATAGCTCTTCTAAGGGCCCAGTGCATTCCGTCCCCAAGCACATACTTCTATGGCATAATCCTGGCCTACTGGGGCTGAGACCTCATTACGTGGAACATCCTGGAACCAAATGAGGTTATTTCTACTATTTTGTGTGCTAAAGGCTAGGTGGGACTACAAATGGGACAAGATGGGGGGGGGGGTGTACCAGCTGTGCCCACACATTGTATTTCCTATAGGAAACAACTTGAGTGACTTCCCTTGAATGCAGAACAATTGCTGCAACTTTGATTATATGGAGACTTATTTCCTTACACTGATATGTACAGAGCTGACTATGGTATTTTCTTCTTTCTTTAATTGGCTCTAAGCATTGCAAATAAGGCTATCCAGGTACTGGTGTGTAATCTCTAAAGCCATCAGACAGTCTCCTGTTTCCTGGAATAGTGCTCTCTCTAAAATATATAAGCACGGTGGGAGGATGGTGGGCAGTCAGCTCCATGAATGTCAACTGGTTATGAGTCCCGAGATAAAGAGGCTATGACTTCCCGGGGCACAAAAGTGTACACATCAGAAACGGAAGCAACAGCCTCCCAAAACAATTCGTTGCTACCCTATTTAAATTATGCAAATTGATCCTTCTGTATCACCTTACCTCTGCATTTTGCAGAGATGTTTTTCTCCCTACCTGGCCCCGCCAGCTCAGGTTACTCACATAGTTCCCGCCATCCTCACTGTCATTTATCCTCGAGCTACCCCCTTCTTCACAAGATAATAAATTCTGGCAGAGGCCTTGGATCAGGGCCTTTGTCTGCAAGTCCTCACAAGGATGGGACTTAGGACTTGCTGGCTGCCCTTAACTTGGAATATGTCCAAGTTACTCTCACCATGGGTTGCATTGGAGGTGGTAGATTGGAATTAACTTGCTGGGATTCCAATAAGGTCTCAATGGAATTACAAACATAACTTTTTGGACTGTGAGGAAGACTACAAAAGGGATTACAATACTTGGATGACTGCACCTGATATTTGGGATTACAATATTTCCTCCCTTGAATTAAAGAAAAATACTCTTGAAATAGTATTTTTTAAAAAGAAATACTACAAATATTTTCAGTCTGAAGTGAAGCTACTCTGCAGATTTCCAAGCTTGTTTGGCCAGCGTGGAAGGGGCCTGCTGGAGGCTCACCTTTGCCACTGAGCATAGTTTACTCCAGCCCCATGTGTTTCCTCGGCCCCTAATCTTACTTTTGTAAGAAATGCTCTCTGGAGTTTCAGGCCAGCAGCAGGTCTTGGCTCTTCCACGAGGCTCTGGAAAATGAGCTGACCATAGCTGGGCTGGAAGGGGCCCACTCTCCTTCACTCTTCCTCAGCTCCTTAGCATCTTGATTGCTGCCTGCCCTGCCTAGGACCACATCTGACCCCCACCTCTTGCAAACATCCCATTGTTAACTCTTTTGGTTCTCGACTTTCTCTACCTCCTCTCGCACGTGGGTCTTTTTAGTTTCTCCTGGCCATTATTTGGGCCTAAGACTCACTGCTTTCCTGGGTCAGCATTTTAAGACATTTTGTGAAGTTTAATAATTGTATAAATTTTAATTCATTTTCAGCAATGTAAAGAGCTCCAAATGCAGGTTTCCCACCTGCTTTTCTGGTCCTTTTCCTCTTCTTCAGTTTCTTCTATCTCTTCAGGTTCCTCAGGACTTTCACTCTTTGGTTCTTCCTCCTCTTCCTTCAGATCTTGAAGTTCTTTGGTCTTTTTTAAACCTTCCTGATATCTGGAAGGCAAAAAAGGAAAATATGTGTCTGAAAGGGCTGACTGTGGAGCATCTGTTCCTGAATTCCTAGAGGAGGGGACTTGAGTACTTCCAAGGATGACGCAATTCCTGTGGTTCCACACAACAGGAAAAAGCTGGGGAACTCTGTTGAACTCCTACATGGCCCATGTCAGTACAATTTCCCCACACTCCCAGGTCATCCTTCCTGTTTATGTGATAGGTGACACACTGACAGGGGAAAAATGGGAGACAGGGTCTCTTGATTGAGTTAGTCTACAAAACATTCAGTAGAGGTAAGACTGCATTTAGTTTCTGTATAACTTCAAGCACTGGGATATTTTTTGGAAGTGCCGGAGCTCAAGCTAGAAAGGTACTCAGTGGAGGAGTTTGACCTCCATGCATTCTGGGCAGAGAACACCTGTGGGTGAAAAGATAGGCTTTCCAAGAGAGGCCCTTCTATCTCCTTCTTTCTGGATTAGTTTTACTCTAAATGCACTCTATTTGTTTGACCTACAGCTGGATGTTTAATTCTAGCACTTTGGTTGGACCAACTCCATCACTGAGGTTGACTGTCACAAAGAAGCCCCCCCAGGTTCTGACTAACAGGAAGCTGCATCTCTCTCAGCAGCCATTGCCACAAAAGGTGGGAGGTAATACTGTACCTTGAGGCCTGTGGCTGGGTCCCTGACGACTGACAGCTGACCCTTAGATGCTACCGAAGTTCAATTAGACAAAGGGACACTGGTTTACAGGAAGAAGGGGTGCCCAGGGCAGTTCTAGGAAGCAGCTTTACAGCTGCCTATGGGCACTGTTGGCAGCAATGTGACCACACTGCATATGTGAAGAAGCCTCAGGCTCTGCCAAGAGGAAGCTACTCCTGGTCTCTGATTTCCAGACCATTCTGGGTAGTTGTGTTCTTGAGGTTTTGCAGCCTAAACGAGAGTAGTCTAATTACAGTCTAACCATAACCTCTGACCCTGCTTCCTTCTGTCCTTCCTGTGGAACAGTCTCACTGTTTCCTCTGTAGCTCTTTCCTGACACAAGGAGGCCCCAGGGCCACTGATTGTTGCTCTAAAGCTTCAAGAAACAGGAAAGGGCGTGGGACAGTGTCTTCTGAAACCTACTGAGCGCTTTCGAGTGGCGGGGGTCTGACTCACCCCTTGTTGTAGGCTTCTTCCTCCATCCTGCTCTTGGTCTCTTGGCTGACTTCCTCCCGGCAGCCTGGAGGCCGCACAGGAGCAGGGGTTTCACATTCTGGCTCCCCATTGGTCTTTCCACTAGGGAGAAGAAGGAAGCAATGGGCTTAAGTTCAGAGAGAAGCTGAGTAACTGCAAACAAAACCATCTTTTGCCTGATTCCTGATCAGAAGTGAGGAAATCCATGTTCTTTCTGTAGTTTCTAGATTTTTAAAAACTTTTCCAGCCCAAGACAAAATTTTATGAAACCTCTGTTTTATGAATCCTTCCTAGACCACAATATAGTGTCCTTTCTCCTCATGCCCCCAAATCTACTCTTACTCTTATTCCTGGGGGTGCTGTGAGTGAATAAGTACTAGGAGCTGAGAAAAGGCAAATGAGGACAGCCTAAGGCACTCGGGGTCCTCTTCTCCCAGCCTGTCTTACACCTCAGAATGCCACTCAGTCTGTCAAATAGCTACTGAGTTTAGTCAAGTCAGCACTTTATGATGTACTGGGGACACATCAAGGGGCAGTGTGGAACTTAGCAGAAGGGAATGCCCCCCCACGAGAGGGAAAAATGTCATTAATTATAGATTATAACATTTATGAGAGAACTATTCAGTGACAGCAAATAACGAGAGAATGTGTTCAGGGTGAGAGGTCACACAAGCCTCTCTGACATGCTGACTCTGAAGCACAAGCTTGAAAGATGAGGGGTCAGCCATAGCCAGGGCACACAAAACCACCCCGGCTAGAGGACGCACGCATGACACATTAAAACTCAAGACACAAAAATCACTGAGAAGTCTGAGGAGCTGAAAAGAGTCAAGGTGGCAGGGACTGATTTTTGGATGATGCGCATGAGGTGTCCAAGCAGGTGTCCAGTGAAAAGCTGGATGTGCCAAAGTGAGGCCGAGAGGAGCTCTGCTAAGGGACACTCATTAAAGTTCAGGAAACGACCTGTCGTCTAAGGGACAGAGTGAAGAAAGAGAAGATGATCCAGGAACAATCCCTGGCTGTCCTGCACTTAGCTCAGATGGAAAAGGAAGAGCCCACAGAGAAGGATAAGAAGTAACAGAAAGGGAGGAGGAAGCCAGGAAAGTACAGAAGCTTGGGAGTCAGGAGAACAGAGTGTGTCAGGGAGGGAGAATTCCCACCTCCTCTGAGAATCTCAGTCAAATGGGGACAAAGTGCCTATTAAATGAAAATGCAGAAGTCAAGAGGAGCCTTGAGGTAATGGTGGGAGCCAAGGCAGATGGAATAGGCTTAATAAAGAGTGGAAGGTTAAAAAGAAGTGTTGAGACACAGGTGCAGTCATTCACTAGGAAAGGGATTCAAGGAGAGAGGAAGCACTTGGCTGAAGAACTGGATTAGGGCTGAACCACATTTGAACATATATGCTATCAGAAATGGGGTGAGAGAACAGAGATAACCAAAGAGCAAAGTCTTTGACTGAAGGAACAAAGACCTTAGAAAGGTGGAGAAACCTCTCCTTGGTTCTAACCAGGAGAAGAGGAAGACAACAGTGGGTTGGGCATCTGGTGAAGGAAGAGGAGAGGGTTCTTATCTGGTGGACAGCTTAAATTTTCTCTATAAAGAAGAAGACAAGATCATCTGTTGAAAGTGAGCTGTCCAGGGGCCTAAGAAGGCTTCAGGAGAGAGTAGAAGGTATGAGAGTCACGTGGGAAAGTAGGAAAATAAACACACTAGACAGTTACAGCGGGATGGCTGGGCAGTTGTGGGAACCCATTTAAGGTATGGATGGGACCACACGTTTTAAGGCAATTTCCCTGCAGCCCGCCAAGGTGACCAGAATCCCAATGGGGTAAAGTTGCCTTGGAGAAGCCCTCAAATGAGGCGAAACTTTGTGCAGAGCTGTCCGGCTGAGACTCTGAGACAGCGCAGCTGCTCTCTCTGCTGATCTCTCAAGCGGGGTTTATGAGTAAACCTTCTATGTTCTCCTTTCTCTTGGCATCAGTTTCCCATCTCTTAGCTTTCCCTCAGACCTTGAAAATTTACATTTCATCAGGCTGGAAACCTCAACCCATTGTGAACAAGAAAGATAACACTCTAAAAATACCAGCTATTCATAACATTTCTCCCTTTGCAAATTACATTAGTCATTCTCTTCCATGTGACCTTCCCTAATGTGCAGTTTCCTATTTGTGCAAATGACTGGAGTGAGAGAAGACAAACACGGCCCCAGCCAAGGGAAAGGACAGTAATTCTTTCATGGAATGTACTTATGCATTAGAAGTGAAATACCGGCATCATGCTTTTAATTTCTTTTCTCTACAGTTTTTGGTTTTAAAAGTCCCTTAATGTCAAACAAGTATGAGAGAGGACAACATGATAAAGAGGAAAAGAATTTGCTTGAGGCAGACCTGGGTTCAAATGTGGTTCCAAAACATGCAAAAGACCTAACTTTCCTAAGCTTCAATGGGGTTATTGCATATGCTGTGTTAATAAGAGTTACTGAAGAAATACAAGGAAACTTTCTGGAATGATATTGTTATTATTATTGTTACTGTTATATAAAGCAAACATATTGGTAAATGTTCAGAATAACCTGAGGTTCCTCTAAACATGATCTATAAAAAGAAATCTAAGCTGATTAATTACTAAGAAATTGTTTATATCTTTAAAGGAGAACTTGGTATCAATTAGTTTGACATTTCAGAGTCAGAAAAGCTCTAAAAGTGAGCTAATTTTAAATGTGGAGAAATTTACATAAAGCTGCTTTAATAAATTTCTCAAGTGTATGTCCACTGTGTGTGGTAACACTCACGCGCCTTACAGTTTTGCTGACTGAACAACCGTAACCGAAATCGCTGGGATTTCCCACAGAAGTCTTTTCGTGAAGCCCTGAATTATGTGGGCAGCTCAAGGCTCCTGCTGAGTAAAGTCATTGCCTCCTGCAGGCGGGACCTGGGTACTGGTTGTGAGATGGTTGGGAGGACCTTGTTTCATACACGGCAGGGGGGCGGGTAGGACTGGTGGTGGGGGAAACAGAGGATGTACACTGTTTTCTGTCTTCTAGCCTGAACTTGTCGTTCCCGAATAGTTTCTCTCACTACCTCAAAGTTTCTCTGAAGGCATCTTTAAGACTTGGGTGAAAGTCTTCTCCTCCGTAGAACTTTATTAGTGATCTTCCCTCTCCCACAGTCTGGGTAAATTCTATTTTCTTTCCTTCTCCTCTCACCACACCTCCATCACTATGTGATTCATTCAGAAAGCATTTTTTATACACCTGCCTATTTCAGTTTCATGACTGTGACCACAGGGGTCAGGACTGTGTTTCAATCAGAACGACACTTGGCACACAGGTGTCTTTAAATGCTTGCTGAGTGGCACCAACCTCACTGACTTACCCAGTTGGAACATTGCAAAATGGGCAAGGCCTCTCTGTACTTCCTGAGAACCCAGTGTTTATGTTGGGCTCAAGGAATTTGTTTGTAAATGAGGGCTCAGCACAGTCTGTGCCCACCCCAGGGATTTCTGGGCCAAACATTCACTGATCTTGGCATCTGTCCCCAGCCTGAAATCTTACATGCCTTTTTCTTTAGGATGACTGATTAAAATGAAGCTCGCTATTCTTGCATGTTCACCAGTCACAAGTGTTTGTCATTGTGCTCCGCTCCTAGTAACGTGAGGGGCTGTTTAGTCAGAGCGTGTTGTTGGATAGGCAGGCATATTAGATGTAATGTTTTACATATAGCAAACAGCATTTTAAAGTGACTACAGTCCTTTCCAGTGAACAGACCTTACCTCTTGGGCCCAGCAATGTTTCTAAGTCATCCCCACTGTTGCAGCTCCCCTGACAAACCCATTCCAAAGGATCTGAGCTAGAAGATCTTTCTCCCTCCCTGTTAACCCCAGATTGCTGGGATCACATAAGTTTATTGGGGAGTAATTCACTCCAGAATACTGTTGGGTGGGTGCTGCTTATTGTACAAATTTAATGTCATATAAATTCTTTAAGCAATTTATCCTAATTTTTCCAACGTATACAAGATAGGGAGTTAAAATTGTACTGCGAGGCATCAGCATAACAGGCCTTCTTAAAAACTACTGGGTGTTCATCCACACCCCAGCTTTGCTCACCCCTCAGCTGAGGGCTCTGCGTGCTCCCACCCTGCTCTACCCTCTCCACATGTTCATGCAGTCACCAGGCTCTTCCAGAAAGAGCTCTTCAACGCACCCTCTTCTCTGTGCTCACTCTGGACTTCTTTTGTTCCTGTAGTAAGAGGTTAAGGTCATAAACCGTGCTATCTACTAGCTGTGGAAGCTGGGGGAAGTGACCATGTCTCGGGCAGCAGTTTTCCTGTCTATAAAACAGGGTACCTAACCTCATGGGATTATTGTAAACATCAAATGAGATTCTTAGTGCAAAGAAATTAGGAAAGCATTTGGTGAACGGTGAGTATGCAGTAAATAATAATCGCCACCACCACCATCATCATCATCATTCTCTGAACATTCCATTCCTTCTGGCCTTTGAGCCCAGAGTGCTGTTAACCTCCTGTTCACCTATTTAATTATATAACCTTTAGATTTCACTTGAAAAATAAGTTTTGAGAGGGAAGCACTTTCTGAGCCTCCTTTTCCCTGAGCCTACACCCTAACTGGGTTAGATGCTTATTTTCTTGTATATTGCTCCTTTAGCAACCTGTACTTCCTTAAAGTAACACACATCCCACTGTCAAATAGCAGGCTGCTTCCCGTCTGTCTTTCCCACAAGTCTGAAACTCCTTGAGTGCATTCTGTTGCCCCTCCCTTGTTGAGTAATTGCCAAAAGAATGAGGAGTGAGACACTGCAGGCATACAGGTCTTCCTATGTGTGCTGAATGGCTCTTGAACTTTGTTCTGCTACAGTCTTTAATGTTAAACATCACTCTCTTTGTGTATGATGAGTAAAGAGCAGTTTGTTATGCAATGACCTACAGGAGCAAGGCCAAGAATTCTCTGCAGTCACACTGTGGGAAGAGCCATCAGCTATTCGTGAGCCAGTCAAGGGCTACTTGGTCTTCCTATCATATACTTAGCCTGTTCCCTTCTTGCTTAGTTACTGAGCCCTTGGGAAATCATTTTAACACAAAGTGAAATACAACAAACTAGACAGAAATGTCTATTAAATTAGAACACGTAGATTGTCTTTAACAGTATAGATAGGGTAGTTAGACTTGACTGTATCTGTGGAGTCCGTTTTCACTTACAAATTTCCTTATTGCTAGCCACTTGGGAATCCATTAAAAGTTTCCGGTTTCATGAGTTCAAATAGGAACCACTTAACAGGTTTATAAATGCAGAGGGAGAAGCTGCTCCTTGTCTAAGTCTCTTCTCTTTTGACTCTTCCCTCCCCTCTTCGCATGCATCCTTATATGGCTGTACTCTCAACAGGTGAATCAGCCCATGTCACTCATGGCTACTGGTGATCTCTCTGGTCAGCCCTAGGAGGAGACGTAGACACCTTTCTGAGAACCTCTTGCTGGACAGGCCTTGATTCTCACTTCTCCCTGATTCTAAATGCTTAAAAGTAACACCACCACTGATTCTCACTTGCCACTCTAAATTTGGTACTGCTGCCTCTTTTTCCCAACTTTATACCGCTGTTTCTCCTACCAAGGACAGCTCGTGTTCTTGATGATCCTACCACACTGAATGGATGCTCTCAGCCGGCCTAAGCATTGGTCTTCAGAGATCTAGGCTTGCTCCACCACGATGAGCAGTAGGGACCTCAGTCTTCTGCCTTGGTTGCTTTGTAGGCCTAGAGTGGGGAATGCGGCCTTGCTGGAAGCTTGTGGAGTGGCACTGGTGCTCCCAAAGGGAGGGCTGCACTCTAGGGATTGGTAAGGTTCTGTGGCCTTAGTTACTTTTACATGTGGCTAAGGTGTCACACCTTTCTAATTTCCCTGCAGTGATGGGATGAGGAGGGGTAGAGAAAGGGGATGAATACTGCATAACAGTATTGAGGTGGAAAGGAAAGAAAATCTGGACAAACCTTTAGACTACCTAGACGTGAGGAAAACAGGCTGAGTCGACTTGGGAGTTCATCTGTACTGACAGGGGGCCCAAGGAGCACATTCCTTCCAGGTCAAGTAAAACTTTTCTAGCAGCAAAGGCATATGAAGGACTAAAGCTGTCTTGAGGCAAGGAAGAAGGGAGAATCAGGTAGACGTTCCCCAAGCAAACAAAGATGTAAGGGGAAAGTTCTGAGACGCAGCAGCTGCAATCCAGATGTTTTAAATCAAGCAAATGCGAGAATTTGAAAAGTAAGTTATAAATTCTTTCAAGGACATAGAAACAGGCTGTCTTACTCTGGCCGAGGATGAAAAGACTCACAAATCGCATAGATGCCAAGAAAAGTTGGGCGAAACACACTGTTGGCTGCTAATCTTCCTTCCTCCTACCTAAGAGCAACATGATTTCGTACAGGAATTTGTTCTTGTTCGCAGAGGCACTGTGCTTCAAGGGATGCTATCCTCACGCCACCTGGAGAGGATAACTGCAGCCCATAATGATTACCCACTTCCCAAAGCTTATGGTTGGTTTAGAAAGGGACGGTGTTTCCAATTTGCCAGTGAATAAGGAGGAAGATGGTGGAAACCTGGGTTCATTCCTAGGAAGAACTAGGGGAAGGATGGACAGTACTCATCTTCCTCTAGATACTGTCCATTCTGGATGAAATTCCTGCAGCTAGCAGCCATTTGTCACAAGCCTAAAGAAAAGGTCAACACACAAAGTGCCAAGGCAAGGACATTGTTGAGACTGAGCTGGAGTCCTTCTGTGCCACATCTGGAATCCCCTGACCTCTGGATTCACGTCAGTCCCTTTGAGTTAAGGTTTTCTTCTATCTGTAGCCACCCAAAAAAATCAACCAACAGGGATATATCCATCTCCTCTGAGCTCTTCTTAGATCGGGTGCACTGGGCTTGAGCCATACTGTCTTCTGGTCTGAGAACATTGCAAAGTTTGCCTAAAATCCTTGTGATTCTCACAGCCCCTCCCCATTCACTCCGCCTAGAACTTGGCTTTTCCTTTCCATCATATTGTGGGGTTGAGGTTGAAAGAAAGGGCATGAGTTGGGAAAACTTTCCCTAGAGATTTTCAACAGTAGGAGGAAAATTGGCAAACTTACTTTTCCAAAAGTGCGGGCAGTGCTGGGGTGACAGGTAGGTTGCCTTTCCCGTTGGGTGATTCTGACTGCATAGGAAATGAGATAGAAATGAGGATGAGAAACAAGGAGAAGCGAGGGCCATGAGGCCTTGGATTTGCTGAGGAAGGCTGCCCCTCCTGTGTTCTTCCCCTTCTCCTCCCACTTTTCGAATCTGCGCCTGAGCCCAGGTGCAGGCACCATCCTTTCCCTCATGGCTTTCTTGCTCCTTGTCTCAGTGTTCCCTCCCGTAAAGCATCTATGACTTGCTCCTTTAGCTTTTCTTCTTTTGCTGAGTGAAGAACAGAGTTTATAATTTAAGTTTCCTTTCTAGTTGGGGAGCCATCAGTGTTTTCTGTCCCATTCCCTGGCTGTGACTTCACACTCCTGGGCCGCCTACCCAAGGAGTGTGTGTGTGTGTGTGTGTGTGTGTGTGTGTGTGCAGGCGTCCTGTGTTCCCTGGGATGAGCTCACAGGAGCCATCCCACCACCAGAACAGCTCTTAGCAGATCCTGCCTTTACTGCATGCTCCAGGCAGCAGGAATTTCTGCACAGTCAACTCCCTGGGACTCCCAGCATGTCTTGCTGCAGTGGGTATGTTTTAAACATCTTCTCAAGATTTAAACATCTTCTCAACTCTGGCTGAACATTGAAGATTTTTTTAAAAGGAATGATTAATCCCAGAGTCTTGGGGGTAGGGCCTGGGCATAAAACTCCTGTTCTAAATAAACATACACCATAAAACCTCAGTTCACAGACACCTCTGTTGGTAAGCAATTTGGTTCACAAACAAAATCACTCAGCAAAATTTTGCTTCTATTGATAAACTCTGCATCAGGTGACAATACAATCACAACCATTTTCCCCACACAATTACAAATGCAGCCATCTTCCCCCAAATTGTAAAACAAATTAAGTTTGTAAACTGAGGCATCACTGTATTTGGAAACCATATCTTACACATGTAGGTAGAGCATGGAAAATAGGGCCATTAAAACACAGCAAGCAGCCCTTCCAGTTGTTCTGAATGTTTTTCCCTCTGGTTTTCAGGAATCACTCCCAAATCTCTAAAAGCAATGATATGACAGTGACTTGGGAGTTTAGGATCATCTCATAGATGACTGAATTGAGTAAGATGGGAAGAGGTAAAAAACTTATAGAGTAATGCTAGTTGTGGACAAAGAATAGAGGAACCACTGGGGAAAGACTTGAAAGAGTTTTAGATAGGATTGACCAGATACACAAAAGCTTGGGATGTAGAAAATATATTCTTATAAATAAGGAAACTGCCTTGGTTTAAAGACATTGAAATGGGGCTGGGGATTTAGCTCAGTGGCATAAGCGCCTCCCTGGCAAGCACAAGGTCATGAGTTTGATCTCTGGTACAAAAAAAAAAAAAAAACAAAATTGAAATGGATTTTTTTTTTCTGATTACCTATATTTCTTACTGCAGAAATATAAAAAGGCACCAAGAAAAAAATTTACCTATCTTACCATTGCCCAGAGATAACTATTAACAGTTTTACATATATCTTTTTTAGAATTTTCTATGTCTATGCATAGAAAGAAATTTTTAAAAATACAAAGTGGAATTATACTACATGTACACTAGTTTTTGAGGATATCTTAAATTGCTACCTATTCGGAGTAAATTATGGGCAATAATTCTATAGACACTCTTTATCTGTTTACCAGTCACACATCCACAGACATTGGGTTATTGCCAGTGCTTCCCAGTTACAAAAGGCAGCAACGCTGGGTTTAAGAACTCAGGCTCTGGGTTCAAGTTCAGCTTTACATCTCGCTCACTTTGTGGTGCAGCCTTTGACTTCCTAAAGCTACTGCAGAGTGTGAAAGAATCAGATGCCTTGGAGAACTGTGTTTAAGCCTGAGTTACCATGGGTAAGGAATACATTCTGAGCCGCCTTCCCCTTGCTAAGGACACTCAGAGCTCTTCTCAGAGTGGTGGAACACATGTGGCCTCCTCTACACTGAGCTTTTTAGTGCCCACCATTCAAATTTTGTGCTGGGAGTTTCGTGTCCTTGTTGCCTCTGACTGTATCTGCCCTGCTTCCCCTAGCATGGTGTGAGGGACAGTGGAGAAAGGGCCGGAAGTCAGGTGTCTTCATACGCACCAGGACTGGTAGGGAAGGGACGGGTGATGAGCTGGGAGACTGGCCAGGCAGGTTCAGGGCATTAAACTTGGGAACCACAGCCACGCTGACCCTCCGGCGGGGCATGTTCTGTGGGAAGAGAAGTGAACACTTTCTTAGAGAGACAGCAATAGTCTGAAGGGCCTGGAAAAGGCCTGTGGTTCCTAAAGCTGTAATGACATTCACTGGAAAATTTGCTTCTGAGGTACTGAGAGTGTTAGGTACTGCTATGGAGAGAGGAGACAGAAGTTGAACCAGATTTTCTGTGGGTGGTAAGTGATCCTTCACATTGTTCCAATTATAGATTATAAAATCTGGGAGAAAGAGAACGGAAGTGGTTTGTCTCCAAGTAAAATCCTAGACAGTTACAAACACTGCCTACAGCAATGCCAAGGTACAGACAATTTCAAGCTCATTTAAGGGTTGTGTAGTTAGGGAAACACATGAGCAAGCAAGGCGGGATGTCCGTGGCTAAGCTGGTGAATGTGGAACCTGAGCAGAAACTCTGCAGAGGGTTTTTAGAACCTGTGGATCCAAGATGAACGATTGCTTGGGTGACCATGCAAACTTCTTTCTACTCCCCTTGGAAGTGCTAGTAGTCCTTGAACATGCATACCTTTCCCATCGTGAGGGACATGGACCGTGCCGTGCGAGGGACCCCATCTTCTACAGCAGGAGGAAACAGAGAAGAGAACTCATGTAAGTTTCATACTAGGCCCCAGCAAGAAACAGGAAGGCGAATACTACCCGCAGTGGTTGATGGGGCAGAACTGGCCTTCAAAGGATGGCCCAGGGGTCCAGGTGTAGGTGTTGGGGACCTGAGCGCGGCACTTCAGCTTTGAGATGATCAACCGCACAGTGGGGACCCCAATATAAAACCTTTATCCTAGGTCCACTGGAACATAAAAACCTAATCTTGGACCTGTGGTCTTCATTTTATGCCACTACATGGGCTCTAGCTATCACTTTGGGCAGGGCGTGGAAACTACTTAGAGCCACACCAAGGCTTACAGAGTCATTTTCAAAGGAGGCACAAAATGGGAGCGCGGAAGGGGTGGTGCTGGTAAGAATGAAAACTTGCTAACAGAAGTAGTTTCAGTGCATCACCTGCACAGTAACTCAGAACAGAGGAAGCTACGTTCTCAGGATTTGCTTCTCCTTAGTGTGTACATTCAGTGATACAATTTAGGTCAAATGTTTAGCATCACACCACATTCAAGTATATGAAAATGAATGTATTTTTAAGGTCAATTCAGTTTAATTCAATCGTCATGTAGCCTGTATATCTATCTGTCCTTCAAAAATATCCATATATTGTAGGTATGTGTCTTGAAAACTACATAGGTGCTTTTTCTCTTTCTTTCCTGCCTCCTCCTTTTCCTTTTCTCTTTTTCTCCTTCCCTCCATGTCACCCAGGCTAGTTTCCAACTTCTAGGGCTCAAGGAATCCTCGGCCTCAGGTGTGTGCCACGGTGCCCAGCCATATATATTTTTTCTTAATATCACTACCACGATAGAGGTTCTCTTACTCAACATGTTTACACTACTTATATTTCTTATGCTTGTTGATGTATTTGTATTTATTTATACCATTTTATTTTTTATTTTCCATTTTCTATTTGCTGATCTTTTTCTAGTCTGTCTTCCTCTAATTCTGTTCTTTCATGAATTCCTTTCATTTCGGACATATCATTTGACTTTAAAATTAGTCAAGTTCTCTATTGTTTTCCTGAATAGGTCTTAAAACAGTAACAATCCCCTCCAGTCTTCATTATATTGTTTTTTGCTATTTTTATTTTACCTTATTTTATACTCCCAAAGTATTGATTATGATTGTTGCTTTCCGATGGATGCTCATTTGGCTCTACCCATGTTTCTGATCATTGTTCTTTCTTGCTTCCTTACTTTCTTTTGAGCTCAAACTTATTCTTCCTTAAGTAATCCTCTAGTTGCCCTTGTTGGCTTGTTTTTTGAGACGGGTTTCACAGTGTGCTCCAGGTAGGCCTTGAACTCACTAGGTAGCTCAGGCTACCTGCAAACTTGTGATCCTCCTGCCTCAGCCTCCTGGGTACTGAGATCTCACTATGCCTGGCTTCTTTTGTCCATGTAACAAGGACTGGGAGAAGAGTACTTTCTCATTAGTTGTCTCAAAATGTTTTTACTTATCCCTCAACCTCACAAATAGTGTATGGTTAGGTTTTACTTGTAGGTGATTGTTTTCTCTTAGTTCTTTGAAAAGCTTATTCCATTGTGCTCTGATATTATCATGGCAATTGAGAATTGTCGTCACTTTGTAAGTTACCACCTCTAGTTACTTTTAAGATCTTCTTGTCTTGGCTGTTCTGAAGTTCTTTCATGTGTTTTTGTTTCTCATGAGGCTATAAGTTCAGTGATTTAGGTCTTTTTTTGTTCCTGGAAAATCCTCAGCTATTCTTTCTTTAAATATTTTCTGTCTTTACTTTTCTCCTTATAGACTAATAAATGGATGGCAGATTTTTTCATTCCATACTCCATATCACATGTCTAATGACACTTATCTTATTTTTTAATCACCGTATCCCTGGGAACTGCATTTTGGGTAACTATCTCAAATCTATCTTCTGGCCAAATGGATTTTCTAGTGTTCTGAAGGTCAGGAGAAACAGCAAACTGCACACCACTTCCTAAGGACCTCAGCTCAGATGTGGCATATCTCACTCACCAAAGCCTGCCACACGGCCTAGCCTCCAGCCAAGAAGATGGAGAAGCATGTCCAGAGGGGAAGACCTGGAATATTGAGGAACTGCCTCATCTACACAACTACCACAGCTGCACGAGTGAGTTTTCCATGCCTGTGACTTTATTCCTCGTTTAGACAAATTCCATGTTATCTTATTTTGATAACTGTATTCTTTTTCCTTTCATGTTTTCTATCCATTCTTTTATGCCTCCAATAATTTTAATATATCTTTTTTTAAAAAATTCAGGTTTGGGGGACATTTGTATGACACATTTCTACTCTTTAATAGATCCAGGGATGGATGCGCATGGAGACTGTTTCATGTGTTTTATAATTTAATATCTCCACAAGGCTTTTTGTCAGGGGTGCAGGGTGTGTCTCTCCGGGGTAGCTGACCACATCCTAAAGGCACCATCCTGCTGTCCTTTCAGATTCTCTGCACATTGCACCATCCTGGCTGTCATTTGGGGCATATACTTTTCCTATGGGGAAGGAGAAAGTATTTTTTTCCTGTTAGAGTGCAGGGCCACAAAAGACAACTTCCTTGTTTCTCATCTGGTTGGTGACTGTATGTTGTCCAGATGCTGTTTAAAGATATCATCCTTGGAAGGTGGCTGGCTTTCTGTGTGAACCTTAGGGTCCGCTCTATTGCAAGTGTCCAAGGCCTTGTCTCAGGTGCACCAAATGCAAATGCCCAGGCCCAGGTAACGCAAGTGCTGAGCCTGGATAATAGACTTTGTCTCCAAGGAAGCTGTAGGATCGGCTTGGTTTCAGTTCTCTTTTTCTTCCTTGTGTCTTCGATCTCTTTTCTTGCGGACGCAGCTGTCCTTTGAGAGTGCTTGCTTTGTTTTACCCAACAAAAATTTCTAAGTATTTATGGTCAAAGTGGTTTCAAGTTCTCCAGTCAGCCAAAATAGCAAAACCAGAAAATAATTTTTATAGTGAAGAGTTCAAACAATTTAACAAAGTACCAGTACTACAAGGGGCCAGAGGTCATAATTAGAGAATTTATAAAAGTAGAGATAAATGCTTAATAAATATTTAGAAAGACAAATAAAAATTAAAACTATGAGATAAAACAATTTTTGACTTTTAAATTCATAAAAGTTTTTAAAAGAAAAAATGACAATCGCATCAATAGCTCAAAGAATTTAGCACATTGTAACTCAATAAATGAAAATACAAATACATTATTTGAAAATATTTTTGCTTTAAGAGTCTGACATGCTCTCTCTGAGCTAGTATTTATACTTCTAGAAATCCACCTTAAGGAAATAATCCAAAATGTAGATAATAAGCATATGTCAAAAAAGGGTTATTTTTTGTTTTGTTTTTGTTCTTGTTTTTTAAGGAGGAAAGATTTATTTAGCTCGCAGTTTTAAAAGTGTCAGTCGATAATCGGCAGGCTCCAAGGTAGGGTGGCTTGGCAGAAGGTAGGAAAGTAGCAAGCAGGGGAAAAAGGGTTTTTTAAAAAAGATACATCTTACTTTTTGAAATCAGGAATATTTTAGTAGCTTTCCAAGTCTCAAGATAGACAAAGATTGCCAGAAGTCATATAAAGGCTTTAAAAGCAAACATGGTTAGGAAATGATCATAGCATTTCCCATGGACCTACCCTCTGGGTCTTAACTGCCCCCTCTCTACCAGCCTATGTGGAAATACAGCTTGGGGAAAATGGCAGAAGGGGAACCAAATATCCAAAAACCATTTTGTCATCAGTTGAGACTCAGATGTCATGTCCTTTCCTGTTGTATGCATTTTTTACCCTCCCAGAAGCACCATGGGACTCTGCACCATTCACTCACGCTTATGCCACAGCACTGCCTGCACCGCCCTGATCTGCCTCAGACTGGGAGCTCCTTGGTGTTTGGGACACGTGCCTTGCGACTCCATACCCCAGTATCATGTGCAGCATACCAAAAATGTTCAGTAAGTGTCTAAAGAATGAATGAATGAGACTCATATGTAACTGCTCATCTGTAAATCTTGGGAAAGGTTGTTCCCTAGAAATCTTGAATCTTGCAGGGCAGTAATGTGAGAATCCATGAACTAGATTTTCCTTGGTGACAACTTCAGGTCAAGTCCAATGCTGGCCAAGAGCAGTTCATTAGAAGCCCACAAGCCTGTGGTTGGGAGTCTCACTGCTGAGATCCAAGGCAGACAACCTGGAGCATGTGTGCAGTGCCTTTGGACTCTTGGAAGTGTCACTGATATTCCCCAGGAAACTTGTGAAACCTCCTGTTTATAAAGGCTTCTCCATCTGTTATACTGTCTCTCTTCCTGCTCTTGGTAACACAGATGTTTGCAATCCACAGAGGTTCCTGATGTAAAAAGGCCCGTTTTCTTGGTGAGCTACTCTCACTGACAAGGGTCCAACTCCTGGCAACGTCCAAGGAGAGATTCTGGCCCAAGGCGCTGTCATCTTGCTCCTGGGCTGAGCAAAAGCCTCCTTACTTGCCTTCCCCTGCTTCATCTTGCACACTCCTTTAACACACTGTGCACACTAAGGTCAGAGTAATCTTCTAAAAATAAAATCTGGTCATGTCATGTGATATAGCACACCAGTCACTCCCTTGTGCTGGAGCACAAAGCCCTGCATTGTTAGCATAGTCTGGCAGGTAGCCTTGGTCCACTGAATCTCATCTTCAGCCCATCACACTGCCGAACTGCAGCGACATTGGGCTATTTCATCTTCTTCCCTGACTCGATCTCTATGCTTTGTCCATGCTGTTTCTTCTACTGGGGAAGAGTCTTCTCCTTTTGGCTGTAGCATTACTGTTTTTACTGTAAAAATAGTGGATAGCCAAGTGCCATTTCTCCGTGAAGCCTTCCTTGACTCCATGCAGAATAAAACAAACCTTCCTCTGTGGTCCTGGAGCAATTTGTGTAGAACTTAAACTGCAGGTCTGCTGTTTATCTCAATAAGGTCCCTTTACCCAGGCCCTCACTTCCCTCTCCCCAGATGTTACCCTCCTCACCCGGGTAGTTGCAATAGCTTCTCCGTGGGGCTCTCTGGCTTTGGTCTGTTCTGGTAATGTAACTGACCACTGCAGCTGGAGGGAACTGTTAAACTACATGATCATGCCCTTTCCTTGGTTGGATACCTAAGACTTTCCAGAATACAGCTCAAATTCATTACCATGTGCTGCCTAAAGTGAGGTGGGGTTCCCAAAGCACAAAGATTTGTGGGACCTGAGGTTCCTCTCACAATGTAGAGGGAGCTCTTCCATGTTGTGGGCTTCGGGTCTGTGGTCAGTCACTGGTTAACTGTGCTGGGAATCTCATAATTCCTGGTGTCAGACCCCAAGGCTCACTGGAACAGCTCTTGTGAGGGCCCTGTGGGTTGCACTGGGTAGAGGCAGGGGAGATTACTCAATCCAGAACAGGTCCCAGGGTAACCTGCATGCTAGACCAAGATGGAGGGAGGCCAAAGCCAAGTTCCTTACCAGAGGGGCAACTACGGCTTGAATTCTGATTTGCAAGTTTCTTAAACTCCATGAGCTCTGCGTGGTCCTTCTCGTATGTCCTCTTCAGATTCTCCACATACTGCATCATCACTTCTGTTGCTTTTGACATGCGTTTTTCCTGCAGGGAAAGACAGCCTGAGTGTGTGGGGGTAACTGCAGTAAAAGGTCCCTGACCGCACACTGCTACTCAGCCCCGTATGGCTGTGAACACCTCCTCCAGGGGGGCTTCCTGGGCCACACTGCTGAGTCAGAAGCCCTTTCCCTGGAAGCACACGGAGATGGGCTGACCTAGGGGCTTGTCCTTTTATTTTGTAGGCAACACTCAGGACTATACCCTAGGAACATCTTCTCATGCAACTAGCATAGCAGGACACGGGCCCGTGATAGCAGCAATATTAATCATGATGTTAAGTGTTATGTAAGTATTTTAACACCCTACACGGACACCTCAATTATCTTCATTTTACAGCCAAGGGTCAACTGGCCCAAGGTCACCCAGCACTGGGGCGGGTGGAGCCAGGTTGGGAACTCGGTAGTTTGACCAGCACCTCCTGGAGCTCTGCACTTCAGGACTTGGAAGGGGCCGAGAGAGGGTGTGACATGGGCCTGCAGCCCAGCTTTGCCACTCGTCAGTGCTATTACAGCATCTGTGTTCCTTATCCAAAATTCTTGGGACTAGAAATGTTTTGCATTTGGGATTATTTTTCAGATTTGAGAATTTTTGCGTATACATAATGAGATATTTTGGGGATAAGACCCAAGTCCAAACATGAAACTAATTTTTGTTCTCTATGTACTCATAGGATGAAGACAATTCTACAGTATTTTTAGTGCAACTAAATTTTGACTGACTTGCCACATGAAGTCAGCTGTGGAAATTTCTGCTTGTAGCATCAAAAAATGTGGAATATTTAGGATTTCAGATTAGGAATGCTCAATCTGTACCATTCTGGGATTTTACATCTTCACCTGGGAGAAAAAGATAGTTACTTTATAAGATTACTAGGTAGATTTAGTGAAAGAAAGCTATTTCTCTAAAGTACATTTTAGCTAATAGTAGTTCCATGGAAAGAGAATAGGTATTTTAGAAAGAAATGATAAAGGAAGAAAGAAAGGAAAAAGGAAGAAAGGAAGGAAGGAAGGAAGAAAGAAAGAGAGAGAGAAAGAAAAGATAGAAGAGAAAGAAAGAGGAAGGGGTCCGTCCTGTAGCCAGATGCGTTTAGGAAACACATAGGCAAAAGCTAAGCAGGCTTCTTTCTTACAGCACTCTAAAGCCTACACGCTTAGAAATTGCCAAGACAGGAAGACACAGAGCCCCCTCACACTTATGCATTCCCAGAACGCCTTTGCACAGAAGTGCCTCAGAGGTTTAGTGGGCCACCAAAGTACTCGGAATGATACCCCAATAAGCTACACAAGACTTCTGGCCTAGAGCCAGCCATCTCCGGGTGGCACCTGCAGTTGTCTGTGCTTATCTCACCATGCTAGTCAGATGGGAGCAGAGTCGGTCAGCAAGGCTGGGGGTGGCAGGGCTCACCTGACGGACGGCCCCAACCACCTCGGCCCGGCTGGAGAGGCGGGCGGCCAGGCGGTGCAGGACCGCAATGTCCTCCAGCAGCTTCTGGTAGGTCTCACGGTGCTCACAGTGGTTCCACAGCGATGCTGAGGACTGAACAGCAAGAAGGAGCATCACCTGGGGCCCTTATATAGTGCTGTGGACCCCTCGAGATGCATGTGCTGAGCTCCCAACCCCTAATGTGAGAGTTGCCTGAAGACTCCAGCGTTCGATTAGGTCCTGAAAGTGGGACTCTGGGAATGGGATTCCACAAGGGGCTCCCAGAGTTGTCTTGCCCTCTTTCTGCCATGTTGGGGTATAATGAGAAGTTGGCAATCTGCAAGCCTACAGAGGGCACTCACTTGAACCTGACCATCCTGGCACCCTCACCTTGGGTTTCCAGTCTCCAGACCATGAGAAATAAACATTTGTTGCTTAACCCATCCAGTCCATGACGCTTTATGATAGCAGCCCGAGCTAACTAAGACACAACCAAGTCTGGACCTGGCTTTCATGAGATGGTCCTAGACCTCATCCTGGCTGAGAGATGGGGCCTCTGCAGGGCCTGGGTCACAGCATCTTCTTGGGACTGGGGAGCTCAGTGTGGACACATCACAGCTGGCCAGCCTGAATGCAGAAGTCACATGTGGGCCACCCAGCCCCCTCCCAGAAGCTCCCTTGCAAGGGCTCAGAGGTCTTGCCTGCAGCTCTGGGGTAACCAGCTTTCAGAATGGCTACCTCAGCTCCTCCCAGCTGTCTGAGGAGAACTCTGTCAGTTTCAGAGACTCTATGTGGTACCGAGAGGAGCACGACTTTTGGCAGGGCTCTTGGAACAGTCCCTCCCACAAGGACTCCAGAGTCAGCCTCCCCAGTTACCGTAATGGAAGCTTTGAAATTTTCCAGTTCCTTCTCGGTGTCCTCCTCCGTCAGGTTGCGTTCTCTTTCAGCCTGGTTAATTCTAGATTCCAGGGTGTAGCTGTCATTTCTAAAGGCCAAGGACAGTTGTACAAACACGTTCTGTTGGGAACAAGAGTGTGGGAGAAGTGCTAGGAGGAGTTACCGAAGGGGACAAGGCAGCTAGCCTGCTTCCTGGTTCAACATTTCACAAGAGCCCCAGTCACCAAGGCTGCCGCATGCAGGTGAAAGTCACTCCACAGTGAAGCACGCAGAAGAAGCAGGGGGTGGGTGCACAGTGACCTGAGGTCTGTGCTGGGTCCTCCCGAAGCCCAGAAGACCAGATGCATTTTACCACAACATAATGAGAGAATTACACTCTGCTCTCCCCCAGATTTTGAGAAAATTACATCTGTATTTGTATTAAAACTCAGGGAAGTAGAGTTGATTGTATAAGCCATTGGGATTAATGATGAGATTTTATTGCATGGGGGATTTTGGAGATTTTGCATGAAGCCTTTGTCTTTAAATAAACCCTATGTGGTAGTTAAGCCTCGCTGACTTCAAGTGAACTTCAAGTAGCACCTAGCCTGAGTATTTCAAATCCTGCATTCATAGCAGCTTTAAGTAGCTGTCCAGGATTGAATAAGACCAGCAATGATTAGGCTAAGCTTTCTAGAATAAATATTCCATCTCAACAAATGTAGTGTGTCATTCATGAGGGAATTTTTAAAAGGTATTGACCAAACATGGGATTTCTGGAATAATAGGAAACTACTGGAAAGGAGAAATAGACAGATGGACTCCATACAGGAAGGAAGGAGGAAGGGCCTTAAATTATATGGCCTTTATCTCCTGCGCCTGAGTCCAGTGGTAGCAGATTTATACTCTGAGGTCACTTGCTCTGCTTGAGCTCCTGAAGTCCATGTATTATGGCCCACTGTGGACAGACATCTCCAGACAGAGAACTGAGGGCACTGAACAGATCCCATCACAATGATGACAACAATATGAAACTTACTTCTTATCAATCACCTACTGCTTACCAGCATGGCTATAGATTTTATAAACTTTACCTCATTTAATTACACAACAACCTATGGGGTGAAAACTGTTATACCTATTTTATGGGCAAAGAAACCGAGGCCAGAGAGATGATTCAAGATGACAGACAATAGTGGAAACCAGGACTTCCCTTTGGACTATCTGACCGCAAAGCCTGTTTTATGTCAGTACACTGGGAGCTGATCATGTCAATTTACATCTGAGGAAGGATCTGGCCTTTAAATAAACCACCCACAAGCCCATGTTCACAAATGTCAAAATGGGCTTTGTGCTCATAGTTCAGCGATAAGGATGCTCTGTTCCATCCAGCACCAGTCAAGTCTATGAACAATGTGTAATGCTCAGTTCCCTATATCTGGGTCATCTTAACACAGAGACTCCCTCCCAAATTCACTGAGAACACATTTTGGTAAGTAGTGGACCTGAGACTTCCTTAAGTTATTTGAACACTCACTTTTCTCCTGTTTTAACACCTGATCTACCTGCTTTTCAGAGCTGGTGGGAGGACCAGCTGACAGGAGGGGAAAATATTGCAATCATAAATATAATATCTAGTGCACGGTTGTTGCTGTAGCGGTGGTGGACATTCATAATGTCCATCTTCCTTGGACAATGACCACATCATGTTTCACTGTCTTGTCTCTGGTAAGTTCTCTTTGTCCATCAACACTTTTGCCACAGTGAAAACAAATTCCTCTCTGCTCACTCACTAGCCCCACTGGGACAAGGGAGCCCCAAAGCATAATGGCCACATCAGGGAAGGCTGTGCTGTTGACAATCCAGCCATCGAATGAGCTAGCTTTCTGCAGCTTAAAGCCTCAGAAGGCAAACAAACACCTCTGCCCTCTCGACCAAAGACGGAAACTTGAAATCTGACCATCTTTCAATAATTTTGAAATAAATTTGGTACAGTACTGCAGCCTCCCAACTGAGTTTATGTATTGAATTTATACATTTAAAGAACACAGATAACCCTTGAAAGAGCATGGAATTTCCAGCTACCTTCTCATATCTGACCTAACTGAGGTGGGAGTGGGAATCTCAGTGGCTCAGTAGGGCTGGGCACGAACGTACAAGTTATTCCACAATCTCTTGTTCTCATTTTTGTGTAAAGATGTCAGGTCCAGAATCTGGAGGAAGGAATGTTTTGTAAACCCAGTCAAGCAGACATTAGATTTCATAAGCTCTCAAGCCACTTACCTCAACTTCCTTTTCAGTGAGTGGAGGCGCACTGTGGAAGAGAAAAAAATGCACAAATGAACATTATCCAACCTGTTAAATAAACCAACTGATCCGCAGACCACGTTTCCAGGAATGGAGTTGGTGAGACAGAAATAGTAAAGAGTCCCCTTTGCATGTCCTGTCATCTGTGAGGTACTGCCCCTTCCAGAGGTAGCATGGGAAGAAACACTGGATCCTGGTGTCAGCACTGCGGCAGTGTCACTTCTGTCTCTGACTTTAGAAAAGTTATTTAACCTAAGCCTCAGTTTTCTCATCTGTAAAATGGGAATTATATCATCTACCTTGTAGAAATCTTACAAGGAATATGTGAACATATGATGGAAATATAGCTCAACTGTTTACATAAAAAATATTATGGTAAATGCCACACTGTCATTAATCTCCCCCCAAATACCTTCCTCACTTTAAACACGCTATCTGATCATTCTTACCACTTTCTGAAGCATTTCTGAAAGTCCTCCATTATGCCTTGGTGAGGCACGATATGTAGTTTTTGAAAATACCATCAATGCTTCTGCTGAGTGCCATCCAACTGAAAGGAGGCTCCTGAAAACATGACCTTATCCACCAGACCTGGCACCATGTGACTTTTGGATCTTCCTCAAGGTCAAGGAAAAGATACATAAGTTGAATTGATTCAGGACACTGAGCAGCCACAACACAACTCATGATACAAAAGAGGACTTCCAGAAGGGCTTCAGAAAGTGGCAAGAAAGACAGGGTATGTTAGCGGAGTGTGGTGGTGCACGCCTGTGATCCCAGCTCTCAGGAGGCTGAGGCAGGAGAATCGCTGCAAGTTTGAGATCAGCCCTTGGCTACAAAATGAGTTCAAGGCCAGCTTAAACTGCACAGTGAAACCTTGTCTCAAAACAACAAAAAACAAAACAAAACCAGATAAGGTATGTCTGAAAGAGAGGGAGCATATTTAGGGGGCCTAATGACAATGTCTTTTACTGTAATACATTTTATTTATTTAAACATTCAGTGTATTTTTGCTCCAAACCACATATATATGAATATGCATGTGTATAAATGCAATCTGACCTCCATATCTGTGGGTTCCACTTTCCTGAATTCAACCAATAGCAAATTAAAAACATTAAAATAATTGGTGCTTATACTGAACATGTATAGACTTCGGTGAGGGCAATATGCTCTAAATACAATGGAACTCCTATTTATATTAGGCATTACAAGTCATCTAGAGAAGATTTAAAGTACACAGGAAGGTATGTACAGATTATGAGCATATTATGCCACTTTATTCAGGGAACTTAAGCATTGGAGGATTTTGGTGCCCACATACAGGGGTCGATCCTGGACCCAATTCCTCATGAATACCTGGCAGGGAATACTGGCTATTATTATTATTATTTTTCCACATGCTGTGAGAAATTAGTAAGAAAATGGCATGCATTTGTAATTTACAGACCTTCTACGCATGTGAGTTGCCATTTCAGGTTTTCTGGGATTATGGAAGTGGCTGACCTTCCTCTGCCCAAAGGCTGTGACTAAGGTCTGTGTGGGTCAGAGAACAGAACCTAGGAGAGTTGGCTGGAGCTCTTTTCCACAGAGAGACCCCCAGGGGCTGGCAGCAGACTGGTATAGGTATTCCACCTGGTGTCCTTCTGAGGGGCTCCACATTATGTGCAGTCCCCACAGCTGTCCCCAGCAAGCAGTCCCTTTATCTGCAGGCTGGCTTAGGGTGCCTGCCACCGCCACTGCTCTTGCTAGAAACTAAAACTGGCCCCAGATAATGTAAATAACACACAAGCTCTTTCCTGTGCTGGGTGGGAAGACTGGGAGGGGTCCAACCAGCGTCACAGGGAGCATGCCATCAACAAGCTTCTCAGGAAACACGGCTTCCTCCCTTTCACGGGTGCAGAGGGACCTTGAGAGCAAAGGTGGGGTCAGCCATCTCTGTAAGGGGCTGGCTCTCACCCCCATGAGGGACTGTGAGAACCTTCCTGTCAGGATAAGGCAACAAGACCACATTGCTACGAAGCCAGCAGGGAACAGAACATGCGATAAACAGTCACAGAGAGGGCCACTGCCTACAGTTCCTGTCACAGCCACACCCAGAGGGCCCTCTCCTCTGAGCATCCACTCTTTACCATCATGTCCAGCAAACACACACTGTCTCAGTGGTTTATCAAACCCCACCGAATGTGCCTCAGATTCGTGCGTTTCTTCAGATATCGCGTAAGTTGGACACTTTCATAACTAGCCAAACTTATCTTTGTACTCTAGTGACTGACATCCTACTGTTTTGCTACAGAGAACAACCAGTTTTTTTATTATATATATATATTGAAAACCACTAGGGCTCACACGGGTGCAGTTTAGGCAAGGAATCCATGTAACTGCCCAGTGCTGGGGCAGAACTATGTCTTGCAAACTGGCGTTGGTAGCCGGGAGCCAGGGCTGTGGGCCTCCAAGGAGAGAGAGTATCTTTTTCATGTGACCACTTAGATCTCTTCTTTGAAGGAATGGCTATTTAAATCCTTCATCCATTTTTAGCAATCATTTGTCTTTTTATTGAGCTATAAGAATCCTTTATATGTTCCAGAAACAAGTCTCTTGTCAGATAAATGACTTGTAAGTATTTCTCCCATTCTGTGAATTGCCTTTCACTATCTTGATGGCAGCATAGCAGTTTTTTTAATGAAGAACTTCATCTATTTTACAAATCTTGTTGCTTGTGCTTTTGGTGTCATATCTGAAAAACCATGAACTAATCCAGGATCGTAAAAGCCCACTCCTATGTCCTTTTCTAAGAGATTTAAGGTGTTAGCTCTTATATTTAGATATGCAGCCCATTCTGAGTTAATTTTTGTGTGAGGTAAGGTTGTAATGTCAGTCTTTTTCATTTGCCTATCAAACTGTCTCAGTATCATTTGTTGCAATTATGATTTACCAAAATCTTTGTGTGGATGGCTTCCTCTCTTCAGTTGTGTATCAGATTGCTTATTACCTTATCGTACGGGGCTTTCTTGACACCCCCACCAGTGTTTCACTCCCATGTCTCTACTGCCCGGTCTTCCTAGCAACTTCACTACCTCAAATCTGCAAGCTGTTTACTTTTCAATCAGTTATCAAGTACCTGTTATATGCGAACAGTCCTAAGTCCCCGCGCATCCGTGACGGAGTGCTCATGACCTCTACTGTACAGGTGAAGAGGCTGAGGCTCACACAGCAAAGGCACTTTCTCTACATGAGTGGAATAAATTTGGTAGGTTTTCCAAACGACCTTTCTGCATGAGCTTCTGAATACTGTACATCTCTGTCTCTACAAATTTCAGACCTTGACTCTCCCAGTTACAGGTAAATGGTGTATCTGGACTGAAACCTCCATCTTCTGGCACAAAACTCACCACCTTCTATTGCCATGAGTCTCTGGTGACCTCAAGGGCAATGCCACCCCTGAAGCCCACCTGGTCTTTGAATTTGAAGCCTGACCCTCACTCTTTTTGTTTTAGATGTATTTTCTCTGCTTGGACCACTGGACTTGGGCTTTTCTAGGGTTAAGACCCCAAGATTCTCTTCAATGTTCCATCCAGCATCTATCTAACACAAGGCCACCCAAAACAGGGTCTTTTGCAAGCCATGTTATAATTTTACCTTCCTGAGAGAGACTTGTGGACCCGCAGTTTTCGCAGCAGCACGTCAGAAATATTGGGCATGACATCCAAGCCACTCTTTGACTCTTCATCCTCGGTAGTTGGAGAGAGTTCAGAAGGGACTCCTGAAAAACAAAAGTGCTTCCTCCTCTCATATCTGTTTCAAACAACAATAGTACTATTGATGAGCCTCAGGGTGCCTGGAAGAACTTTAACACTTATAAACACCTAGTTATAGGCTAGGAAATTTATAATTGTCACCTTAATTTATCACAATGATCCAAAGAATTAGAACAAAATTGTTCCATTTTAGGTAATCCCAGGCTCCATAAAGTTAAGCAACTTGCAAAATTACAGACCTAATAAATGGCATAGCAAAGCTTCAAACCATGGTCTATCTGCTCCAAATTCTTTCTTTCCTGTGGCTCCTCATAGCACTAAACAAGATCTTGTGTTTGGAATCAGATATTGGTTTCGGTAACTACAAGCTGGTTGGGCATTTGACTATAGTGTTTGGGGTGGTGGTGGGAAGACCTTTATTTGGTAGACTTCTCAGGATGTCTCTTGCCTGGTTGTTCTTCCTCAAATATATTAAAGAGTTGCATCTCTCAGCGTCTACCTAGAAATCAGCATCTAGTTCTATAGCCTTATGGGTAGGAATAGAAACAGGGATATTTCCAGGACAAAGCTTCGGGTCATTTGACCTTTTACAGATCTCAAGTATGGATGCCTCCTACTAATAATCAGAGCCAAACAAAAGATTGATTTTGTTTTTTCCTGAAACCGTGCTGGAGCTGTGTTCTGATAACAGAAAGAACAAACAAAGTATCATTTTCCCATTTTTTTTTTTTTTTGAAGATAGTTCCTCCAAAGCTTTCCTTCTCCAGATGCCTGCCACATTTCCCAGCTGCACATCTCCAGCTATGATCCGTGGCCTCTAGATATTGTTCTGTGCCTGCACACACTCAGGTATGCTGCTGCCTACAGGCCTAGCCACGCTCTTTCACAAGTTCAGCCTAGGATGTCGCTAGCAAACCTCTTTGGCATTGACATCTGTTATTTGTACAGAATAGACTCATTGTGCTTTGTTGTTCGTTCACAGTTTATTTATAGTTAAGTAAAGCCTATGCACTGAGCTACACCCCCTCCCTTTTTGAGTGTTTCATTTTGAGACAGGGTCTCCCTAAGTTGCTAAGTTGCCCAGGCTGAGTTCGAATTTTTGATCCTCCTACCACAGCCTCTTAAGAATGCTGGGTGGAAAGTGCCAGCACTTTCAACTGCAAAGAATGAACTTTGAAATGCAGATGTGAAAAATTTTGACTGCACAGTGGGAAGGCAGGTGACTAGAGGGTGTGAAAAGGCAGCCTGTGGAGGAGATTCAGAAACTTTCTTTAAAGCAGAAGTTCTCCATTCCTCCTTAATAACATATCAAAAGAGAAGAAAAGGACAGAAAGTAAACCGCCCGTGTTGCCATTACGTTTTTATACTGGGGAGTAAAGGAGAGGAAAGGCAGAACAATTGCACAATATTCTATCAGAGATGCTTACCTTGAACAATTGGAGGGATTTACCAGTAAGGAAATTAAATAAAAATTAAACAAGTAGAACAGACTCATCTGATGGGGTGAGTGGCAGGGTACACATGGAAAACCCCATCTGAAGTTACCACCACTCACACTCCCCACGTCTCAAAAATTGCACAGTGGCCAAATTCCTGGGATTCCGTTTATGTTTTCCATCTTTTGTCTGGCAGAGGAGTGAATGGCTCCTTGGAAGGTTTAGGTTAGGTCTGGAAAATAAATACCTGGGCAGGTTTTCTCTATAAATCTACCCTCAGTTGGTGAAACAGTCTGGAACTCACCACTCTGCACCGAAGGGTAAAGATACTCCCCCGATTTGATTTAATAAACTCAAGTTTTGGGCTATGAACAATTACACAAAAGAGCAGGAACTAACCCTCACCACTCACAGCTCTATCTGAACTTCCTCCCCTCCCCACCATTCCAGTAGTAGCAAAGCAAACACAGAAACGCAGTCTTCAGCTAACGTGCTAAAGGGACAGGTCTCAGAGGAGACAGGCCGGAGTCAAGGAAAGTTAACCACACTGCGCAGATATAAAGAGAAAATGCAGTAGAAACTTTCAGGTTGAAAAGACATAAAGTGAAAACAAACGGCATGGCAACTATACAAAAATGCCAAAAGAGCCAAAAGAGGAAGGAAAGAAGGAAGGAAGGTAGAAAGGAAGGAAAAAGGGAAACACGTAGCAGGCAGATGTCTGGGTGGAAACGGAGCTGCAAGAAACACGTCAAAAACTGCAAAAGTGCAACTCTGTGCAAAATACATACCACAAGTGCTTGGACTCTAGGAGAAATTAGAACTTGAAAAAAAAAAAAAAGGAAAAGAAGAAATCAGCAGCAGGGAGGATCATACAGAGACGGAAGGTTTCTATTTAAGGAAATAAATAAAAGCCCATAATAGCAGAACTAATCAAGAAATTAGAAAATATGGAACTAGCCAAAATGTTGGAAAATGAAGGAGTATAGCTTCAAATTAAATTAGTAAAGAGGGTGGAAGAGGATGAATGTTCATAAAAAATACAAAGAAGGAAAGAAAGATTCAAGTATATGGAGATAGAATATATGGACCTGGAGTCAAAATGCTGTTCACCACTCTGAGGATTACGTTACCTCTGTGACAGTGAAGCAGACACATTCAACAAAGAATGTATTCAAAGACATAACAGAAGAAAAACCTTTTCAGTTGAAGGGGAATGCTGAACTTAGAGTTGAGTAAATATATCATTTAAAAAAAACAAAACAGAAGATAGGTAAAGAAATTCTTTCACTACCTTCACAGAAAAAAGAAAACACCTACAGTGTGAGACTTAAATGGTGCAAGAAACCAGCTCGTGTCAGAGCTTTCTACAACATTAAGTACAGCAGAGCAACATCTGTGGATTTACATAGCCATGCAAGCTGTCCTGTAAGAATAAGAGGACGTTATCAAACACGTTAGAGCTCAGGGAACATAACACTGATCTCTCTAGGAAAACTAGAATAATGAAAGTTGAATAATGAAACCCTGCTAAATGAGACGTAAGTCGACACAGTAAATTTGGGAATGGTGAGCCATGGTGAAGGGACTAGGGGTGAACATGACTTCATTTTACATATAAGACTTAAACAACTGTAGGAACCATGGTTTCAGAACAGGGTGTAAATGTTACAACCTTGAAGATATACAAAGAATTCAGCAACTATATAGGCAGAGGCAGAATGATAAGAAGAATATGAAGTGAGGAAAGAAATACCACCATTTTTCTTATCCCAAGAAGTCAGTAGATATTATTGTAGTAACAAAATATTCCAGTTTTCTGTATTCTTGATGGTCTGGTATTTGTGGTTTTAATACTAGAGACTGTTCCTTCCAAAGCTAGCTAATACCTGCAAATAGCAAACAACTCTCCTTCAAGTGTACTCTCATTGTACAAACCAACCTGTCCAATTCCAGGTGTGGGGGTCACACGACTGTGATTCCAGTGCTCAGGAGGCTGAGGCAGGACGATTGCTGGGAGCTCAAGGCCAGCCTGGGCTATGTAGTGAGTTCAAGACCAGCCTGCACTCCAAAGTAAGACCCTGACTCCCAAAGCAAACACAAACACACAAAAAAACTAACTCATCAACCAAACACCGTAACCAGTTCAGAACCTACACCACCAACTAGCTCCTTTATCAAAGTACCGCACACCAAGCTAATATTTTCCCTGCCCTAAATCACCGAGGGCCAGGTATCTAAAACTAGGCACTTCCCTTCTGGAACAAAGTCTGCCAAAATTGTTTAAACTCTCTTCCTGAGCTTTTTCAGGGTATCTGCCCTGTTTTGCTGATTCTTTCTCTTGCAAGGCCCAGAACATGGTCCATTCTCCCTTCTCTCTTTGCCTCCTGACAGCCCCAGGTCCTTCTCCAAGTGGCTGTGCATGATGTGCTGAACGTTTTCCTTAGGGATTTTTTAACGTAAACTTGTTCCTTCATGATAATTATATTTGCATGTGTATCTTACCACACCTGCTTAAAACAAATGCTGGGTACAAAGTTGGGAAAACCATCTAAATTTTAACACATGCAAAACAAAACAAAAACCCCAAACTATCACAATGACGCCAGGCCCTTAATGCACTTCATAATGTTTTCAAAACTTTTAGAAACTAATTTCCCTCCTTGGGAGGAAGAAATTACCAAAATTCAACAAGTCTTACAGTTTCATTTCCCTTTTTTTCAAGCTCAATTAAATTATAATCCTTTTTATTTTGAAAAAGTACATCTAATGTAATCTCTTTCCTCCTTCCTTTCTTCTGTATTGGTCAGAAAGAGGTCTGATATAAGCTTTCTAATTTTTTTCTTTCTTCTTTATATTTTTCAGCATTGCTTGCAACTTTCAATAATGAATATGAACTGGTTTTCACAAAAGCAACAAAATAATTTTCAAAATATCTGCCTGTACTAGGTCATTCCAATGAAAATATTTGTTTCTGACCATCGCAGAGATATGGATAAATAACTTTTGGGACTCTGGTTAAAGATGCTCTGAGGACAAGACGACCCCAAAGATCAAAGCTACTGGCTGGGGTTCACTTTTTTTTACATCTGCCTTCTCAGGAAGGTCTCTTCCTTCTGTGAGCCCCAAGGCTCTGAGGCCGGACTCGGGGTGTCTGGAAGGACTGCCCAATTGATGTACTTCTCTGCTTCAGTTCGCATCTCTCAGAGTCCAGGTCCAGCTCTTAGGCATGACCACGTAAGTAAGGAGAATAAAAATCATTTCAATGGCCACTGCTTGTGGAACATCAAGTGCACATTAGATACTCTATCTTGTTTACTCCTTACAGGAGTCCTCCCAAGTAAATACTGCTAAGCTAATTTTCTGAAGTTAAACAGATTTCAGGGGTTAATTCCTCAGTGTAGAGTCAGGAAACCAAAGCAGGTCAGTCAGACTATTGCATCCCAGCTGCTTCCCATGAGCATCCAGTGTGTCCAAACCAAAGATGTGGTCATCCTTTCCTGTGAGTCCAGTCCTGATGAAGGTCACGGTCGCAGCACAGCCAAACCCAGACCTAGTGGCCTCTAGGTCCTCCCCTCCCCAGGTCCTGCCAACCTCGCCTCCAAATGGCCCTAAAATCTTCCCCCTGCTTATCTCTTCTATCCCGTGCCTTCCTTTCTCCAGCCTCTCCTCTCACAGGCCGGCTTTTGTCCAGGAGAATTATATTAAAACACAGCACTGGTTCTGGGGCTTCCTAACCTGGTCTGCAAAGTGTCGTGAGTGAAATTTAAACTCATAAATCGGCCCTCGAAGAGTTCATCCTCTCTAGTGATAGCCCAGAGCTCCTGCTTTGCTGCCTACACACGGAATTCCCTCTGTTCCTGAGACACTCAGGCTCTAGAAGATACCCACACGACTTTGCCCCTCCTATTTCCTTGTCTCAAATGGGGTGCCTTTCTCTTTCTCAGGTAAAAGCTGCTTCTTCCCAAACCTTCCCTGACTTGCCCACCCTGAGCAGTCTGCAGTCTTCTCTTTGTTCCTAATTGCTTCATGTTCTGTGAAAGTCTTATCACAATGTGTGGCAGTGACTTTTCCTGCCCTGCATTTCTTCCTAGACAGCGAAGGTGAGCTCATTCATTCATGCCTTCAGTGAATATTTACTGCATACACACTATGTTCCAGGCAATGGGCTCGGAGCTAAGGATACAATGCTGGTGAAATTAGCATGTCACCATCATCTGGGAGCTTATTATCAGAGGGGACAGAAATTATTCAGAGAAAAATTCAAACATTCCATTTCAAACTGTGATAGATTTACAAAGAAGAAGTAGTTTGGAGGTGCCAAGGAAGCCTTCCTTAGCAAAGTGACATTTGACCAGAGACAGCTTCTGATTAAACCAGAGGTCATTAGGTAAAGAGGAAGAGCATTCCATGTAGGAATAGCATTGCCAAGCCTCAAAAGGGGGAGGAATGCGCTGTGAAGGAAAGTCAGTGTTCACAGTGAGGAGGAGCAGCCCCAGAAGAGGCAGGGGAGGTGGGTGGGACCCAGGGTCTCATAAAGATTCAAGTGCTCACTCCAAGAGCAGAATGAAGTCCCTGATGACACAGTTGCAGATTTGCATTTCAGATTCTCTGGCTGCTGTGTTGGTGGAGATGTAAACTGGGTGAGAGACTGGTTTGGAGGCTGCTGAGGGAGCTGGTCGAGGGTCTCTCCCCCATGCCTGGATTCGAACCTTTTTCATGTAAGTCAGCCACAGCATGCAACTCAGGAACTGGCCCACACCAGCTCAAGTCATTGCCTAGAAATAACCTGCAAATGATCAAAGAGCAAAACATGGTACAAAATGGTCCCTAAAAAGGCGACCTTTTGGCTTGTTGGAAAGATCAGATACAGCAGGGAAGAAAGGGCCTCCCAGTCCTCAGAACCTGAAGGACAGCCAAAGTGCTCAAGTCTCCACAAAGTTCTGATAAGAATCTTCCCCATCTCCCAAAGGAACAGCCAAGAAGCCTCAGAAGAGACTCGAGCTTTCCTCATGAGCTCATATGTGCTTTTGAATTTGGAGTGCTTTCTGGACAGCGCTCACAGTGCTCCCAAAGCCTTTGCACTGAGCCCTGGAAGCAGAGGAGCTCCCAGGAAGTAAGAGAAGAGAGTTACCACTCTGCAGACAGCGATGTAACCGCTGTCCACCTCAAATCTCCAGCTCTGTGCAGTGCACCATGCAGCACACAATACAAGAAGGCTGCCAAGACAGTCTCATAACCTCAGTGACAAAAATCGACAGGAATGTCAGATTCCTGCTGGAGTGAAAATGAGTGAAATAGTTCCCATGACTGTCCCCCTCTCTTTTTTGTTGTACTGGGAGTGGAATCCAGTGGTGCTCTACCCGAGTTACAACTCCAGCCCCTTGAAAAGATTTTGTCCTATTTTGAGACAGGGTCTCACTAGTTGCCCTGGCTGAGTTTAAATTTTCCATCCTTTTGCCTCAGTCTCTCTAGTAAGCAGCTGGGGTTATAGTCATGAGGCTGTTGCCTGGCTGGCTCTATTTTATAGATGAGCAAAGTGGGGTGCCAAGAGTGTAAGAAACTGGCTCAAGGTTATGCAGCAGTAAATGATGACGCTTGGGCTCTGAATTCAAGAATCTACTTCCTAGAGCTGAGAGCAACTGGGAAGGAGTGTGGAGTTGGGAAACACGTACCATAGTTAATTTTGTTCTCTTTTTCTTTCTTTTATTTTTTTTTTTAATTTGGTGCTCATAGAAGCCAAATTCATTTATCCGCTAATTTTGCTTCTAAGATTCAGCTCATTCCCTATTTGTACTGGACAGTGAGGTTTTGCTGCAAGTAAAATTTTGTAAGCTAAGTTTGTAGTGTGTATATACATTTAAATGGGAAGACTTTTTAATCAATTGTACTTATAGGACAGTATCTCATGGAAAGATATACAATTCTATAAAGATACACGAATGAAAATATTCATTATTTCACTGTTTATAATAGAGAAAAAGTGAAAATAATATAATATAAACAAGAGAATTGTTAGGTAGAAATGGCAACATGATAGACACCTAATCATGCAACCAAATCTGCCCTTGGGAATAGACTTTAATCTGAGCGTATGGTCAGCTGTCCAGAGCAGCTGTGTTTCCCAGCTTCCCTTGCTACTGGTTATGGCCATGGGAACATGCCAGCATCCATGCAATTTGAGCTTAAAGAATGTATACTCTGCACCCCCACTACCTCCAGCAGGGACCCACATCTGCCCGCCAGCCAGCTTTGACCCTGGAGCAAATCTAACACCTTAAGGCATGGCAAAAAGATAACAGGGAAGGAATCAGGGTCCCTGAATACTTGCATGCAGCAGAGTTGGCCAGTGTTTGACCGGCTCGCTTTTGAATTATTACTCAAGAATGATACAGGCTTCCCTCTCATTACTATTAATATGCTATTGTATTCGTGTACTCTATGTCACAACAATTTAGATTTTATCTTACCTAATGTAAGAAAGCTACGGAATACTTTTAAAAGAGGTACTGATATATAGAATTTGGTAGTACATATAAAGAAAGAAGCTGTGACAAGCTTTGTTTTGCCATATTTGACTGTATTCTTCCCCCCCCCCCCAAAAAAAGTAATAAGCACTAAGGAGTAATAAAATCCAAAATGTGTAAATTTTGTTGTAAAAAAGAGAGGGAAAAAAAAAAAAAAGAAAAAGAGCTCTAACGGATATAACAGCAAGTGAGTTTAGGGGTGTTAAATAGCTGACTATATCAATGTTTTTGGATCATTGAACACAGCTGTTTGCAGTCTCCCTGTTTGAATGTCCACCTTGTATTCTTTGATACTGTGATTTGAGCAACTATTTTCAAGATGATAATATGTAATCTACTAACAGGTGATTTCTTACTGTTATGTTTTTTTTTTGTTTGTTTGTTTGTTTTTTTTTTTTTTGTAGTTCTGTATTACGTGTACCCTTACACCACTTTGGTTTGTTTTGTGTTTTTCTCTTTTTCCTCTTAAATAAAAAAAAAAAAAAAAAAAAAAAAAAGAAGCTGTGACAAAATGAGTTTATTCCAGCATCCAGAAATAAGGGAGCCAGAATAAAGAGCTTATTTCCACATATGAAAAATTACTGAATAGTCCGGGCGTGGTGGCACATGCCTGTAATCCCAACACTCAGGAGGCTGGGGCAGAAGGATTGTTGAGAGTTTGAGACCAGCCTGAGCTAAAAAGTAAGATAAAGGACAGCCTGAATTACATAGTGAGACTCTGTCTCTAATAAATTAATTAAATGACATAGCACACTTTTTTCAGTAGATATTTAAAGCACATTTGATAAATGTCAACACACATTTTAAAACTTGGAAGAGAAAGTTATTTCTTTGAAAAATATGTAAAATATATGATATATAAAATAATACCATATATTTATATTTTATAGATTTTATAGCTTATTGCATATTTTATACTATAAAGCAATAGAAATATTAAATAATACAACTTTAAATAATGTATTTATTTAATAAGATATATATTTCTGGAACAAAAACCACGGCAATTCAATTAAAAAAAAATAAAGCATGTGTTCTCCTTATCACCGTTGTTGAATTGCAGAATATTGTCAGAGTAATAAACTATTTATATATAGATCCACACAGAGAAATGCATGTACATGTAAACACAGAGACATACAATTAAGACAAATAAGGCTTGGAGGTTTAGCTCAGCGGCATAAGCATCTGCCTTGCAACTGTGTGGTCGTGAGTTCGATCCCCGTTACCGATAAAAAAGAAAAAGACCAAAAAAAAAAAAAAAAGACAAAATAAAAAGCAGAGATGGTTTGTTTATAAATTTGAAAGAGAAAGGTATTTGCAGTGTGGTCAAGAGCCTCTGAATTGGACACATTTGGATTTAAATCCTGGCTTCAGCAATTAATAATCACATGACTCGAACCTACTTAAGCTCAAATTCCTCTTAGAGTGAGTATAATGTGGCCACTTCCCAACACTAAGTCAAATGTTGTCAAATGCTTGGACAGGATCTAGAGTGCAGTAATCATTCTCAGTGTAATAATCATACTAGTTATTACAGGAATCACACTATCACTTGCTAATACTAATATTTACTAGACAAGAAACATATAATATAGAGCAGATGCATATATGCCACTAATTATCAGCTGAAAATTTTTTTTCATAAATAAGCAAGCAAAACTATAAATTACATAGAATGTGCCTCCGTAAAAGATATGAGAGATATAGTATAAAGACCTTAAATCTTCCTGAGGTTAAAGAAAGGAATACTAAAGTGATGAGAGAACAATCATGTGCCTGAAGGAGAGTTAAATGTCTGCAAATTAAGTAGAGGTCTATGAAATGTAAAACAAAGTGGGCGGTTCTTCTGAATCCACAGTTAAAGTTCTGTACAAATAGAATAAATTCAAATGTCAGTGAAGGCTCAGAGATTGAGGACTAAATTTAAAGATCCATTAATTGGTTTCTAGGCTGGGACATAAACTCAAAACAGCTGACTTCTTGTCCAGTTGCCCTCTCCCTTACTTTACCGTGAATCTCTATTCCTATACTATTAACAAATATTCTGAAAATAGCAGTAAGGGTAAAACTAGCTCCACGGCACATCATTAAAACAGTGATCAAAATGGTGCCATATTTTTCAGAATAAAAATCCAAAAAATTAAGAGTCTAGGACTTGTCTTTGGTATATATATTTTGGTATATATATATATATAGTATATATATATATGAATGTAACACATGACTAAGTCACAAAGCAAATATAAACATTACTAAATATTATTGCAGTAATAAGATCTTATATCTTAAAATACCTACATTGTCAAATAAAGTTCAGAGGTATTAGCAAAAATAAATATGAATAAATCAAACTGCAGATGAACTAGTAGAAAATAGATCTATTTTCCCATCAGGAAGAAGCATTATTTTTTATTTATTTTTTGAGAAGCATTATTTTTATACCAATTGGAATAATGAAGGATTTCATAAAGAAAAAACAGGCAATAATGATTATAATAAAACTTTATAATTTCTCCAAAATAATATATAACTAGTGAAAAAGCAAAAAATGACAATAAATATATTGAGAAAAGGCAGCCAATAAAGGAATAATATCTGTCATATATAGAATTTACATATATTGCTTTAAAAAAAAGTCTAGGACCCAGATATACATGGGCAAGAAATGAATAGCTCATTTACCCAAAAAGAAAACAAAAGTACATAGATGTGTTAAAATGTTAAGCTTGCACTTGATAATAGATTAATTGAAATAATCATAAAGTGGCATTTCACAGTAACAATGATATGTTGTAATTACTGTTCTTATTATTGGTTATCTGGTTTGTACTCTACAGTAGTCTGGTTATTCAGGGCCAGAAACAAAGCAAAATGCAGATCCTGCTTAGAAGACAAAAGTAACACAAATATTTCTGTGCTTTGATCCAGGAATAAAGGCTGAGAACTTATCTCAAGGGAATAAATTAAAGGAAGAAAGAAAAAAAATCACAGTATAAAATGTTTACAGTTGGATCATTCATCATAGAAGTGTAGACATCTGAAATATACAACAATAGAGGCATCCACATGCCCATTTATATGAGCACAATCAAAATACCTGGAATTAGTTATGAAATAAACAAAAAGGGGTGGAGAAAAGGAAGTTATATCTATGCCAGCCAATCAACTTGTGAAAAATCATAAACATGGATAAAAATTGCAAAGAATAAAAATTGTTGCTTTTGCAGAATGTATGAGATTGTAAGTGACATTTTAAGATAAGTTTTTCCTCTAAATGCTTAAACCTGCTTTAATGAATACATTTTAAAAATAAAAGTATATAAACAACTTTTAAAAAATTCATTTAAAGATGACTACTTTTGGGACAGGATGTAGCTCAGAGGCGTAAGTGCTTGCCTGGCAAACTACTTTTTTTTATTTTAGTTCTTTTAAGAAAAATGTCAGCAATTCTGCTGCTGGGAAGCCTCTCATTCATACTGAATGGGGGACGTGGGGTGTTAGCATATTCTACACCAGGGCTTCCTGCTCACTGGTGACTTCACCCAGGAGCCTTCCATGCGGCAAGGCAATCGCAAGCAGTAGGCTTCTACCCCAACACAGCCACGTGAAGTAGGGCAGCGTGAGTGGGCCAAGGATTTGAAAGGCGGGTCTGTGGAGCCCGGGGTCCGCTGGGGGCCTCGGTGCCACAGGGGAATGACCCAGCGCTTTGAAGGTGCCTCAAACCCCCAGCAGCCCTGCCGACCCCTCCCCCAGTGCTGGATGAGCTTGTCTGAAAGGTCAGCAGCTGAAAAATAGCTCAACAACCCTCCATAGGGTGGCAAAACCTTGGGACTTGGAGTCAGGAGCTATGTGGCCTCACACGCCAAGGTAAAAGCTTGAATCCCTGCCTCTGTTCAATGGGAGTAACTAAACTCCAGGATGCAAGAGGATTTCTACTCTGCGAAATGGTATAAGTGAAAAAAGAAGGAAGAAAAAAATGCTATAGGTGCTTTATTTACTATGATTGCATTAAAAGGAGTTGAGTGCTTCCTTTATATGAGTGGCAGAGAGACAGAAAGTGGAATGAGGGTTTCCAGGGCTCGAGTTAGGGGCAGAAAGGGGAGCTCGTGTTCAGTGAACGGGTGCAGAGTTTCAGTGTGCGGGAGATGCAAACGGCTGCGGATGCATGATGTGACGGCTGAACAAGTGTGAATATGCTTAGTGTTGCTAAACTGCATGCTTGAAATGATTAAAATAGTACATTTTATGATATACATACGTATCTACCATGAGAAAAAAATAAGTAAAAATAAGATATAGACAGTGAAATGCAAAAACAGAAAGAAAGGAGGTTTCAGACAAGGTGAGACTCACTGCTTTAAGGGACAGGTATGACAAGTCCGAGAGGCTGGGGATGGCAGGTCAAGGGGAGGACATGGTGTGGACACAGGCCTAGAAGCAAGAGGTGAGCAGCCTTTGGAGGGAGGTTGGAGAGGTCCCTCATTCCCCTTTGTCCACTGTGACACTGGATATAGTTGTAGATTTGTTATGTACCTAAACAGCCCTTATACAGTCTCATCCACTCATTTTGTAGATAGTTACTCAGGATCTCATAGTGCCAGGCACTGTTGTTGCAAGCACTTAGTAATAAAGCTACACATACTGCCACACACGCATACACAGGCCCCAACCAAGATACTGGCCCTTGTTGGCCTCTCTTCTGGGGTTGCCAACAGCGGGTACCTAGACCGCACTCACTATGTACCAGGCACTTTCCAAACACAGCTTATTTAATCCTCTTATGTTCCTGGTAACCTTGAGCTCTAACTGGCATGAGTCTCATTCTATGTATGGTAGCTTATGAGAGACCCCATGGCTGGTAAGTGGCAGAGGCTGGGTCTAAGCTGGGCAGGGTGGGCAGCACTGGGAGAAGGGCTGAATCCATCAGCCAGTCTCTCTCCAGGCAGCCAGGGATGGGGGTTATTTACAGATTGGAGGGGGTCAGTGGAGAGCAAAAGGCCCAGAGAAAGGGATTTAAGAGTCATCGGGCAGGGTGGGGCTGGGATATGGACTTTGTCGTGACAGCACATTGGGATGTAAGAGATGGCTCTGGTGCCCAGAAAAAAAAGGAACTGGTCTATTTGGGTGGCTTCCTGGGTGTGAGGGGAAAGGCAGTGTCAAAAGTTCAAGCCTGGGGCACTTTCCAGACTCACTGTTTTGAACAAGGCCTGGGGTGTGGGCGCTGGCAGGAGGAGATGGGTTGGGGGTGCTGTGCATGACCATGGATGGGAAGCCTGATGGGCTTTGCTCATTCATCTGTGAATACTGCATGAGGGGCTGCTCTGTATTCAGCCCATGCCACCCTGGGATGGACTCAGGTCATGGGCAGGAAGCCCACTGCCCATGCATCTGCCCTCTGAGACCTTGGGCACACTCCCCTCCCCACCTGCCCGCCCGCCCGCCTACCTTTCTCCTGCTCGGCTGCTTCACTCAGTTCGGGAAGCTTCAGACCCACAAGGTTCTGGTTTCTCATCAGAATGTGCTCCTTTGTACGAAAGAGACAGACAACAGTTCAGACGACAGCACCAGGCTGGGCACTTCTCTTGGTTTCCTCTGGTTCTGTGCCACTCAGCCTTAAGTGGGAAACACAGGGCCAGCAGCAAAGGTGGGTGGGGGGATGACTGGCCAAGTTGGGGAGCATCAGCTCCTTTCTCAGTCTATCCCGCGCCCACCATAGGTGTCATTTAAAGAAATCCACGGGCCTCGGAGAAAATGAACTGCTCAGCCATAGAGAGCTGGGGAACAAAGAGCTCTGAGGACAGGCAGGTCCCTGGGGTGTACATGTGGCTGTTCCTGGGAATAATCTTTGGCGAGCAGCTATCTCTTGCCTGACTGAAGCTTCCTGCCCTGCCAATCTGGGCAGGGAGGACCCACTTCCAGGAGTTGTGACTTCCCCCACCTCTCAGTTCCTCAATGGCTTATATGGCACCTCCAGGCAGATGAAGCCTGAGAACTGCTGCCCTGGGGACTCAGCAAGCAGAGTTGGGGAGAGGTGGGCTGTGGACTGCAGGTATGTGGTACAGGCAGGTCCACCCCTGCTCCACACTGGTTAGCACCGTGGAACGTGTGGTGCTCCTCACCCTGGGTGGTTTGTGCTGCCAGTGGATTTTCAGGCTCCTGGGTGGCAAAGGCCATTGGGTAAAGAAGGAAAGGAAGGGACCAGCAGAGGGTGCTCATGATCCAAATGAAAGTCACAACTAGGCTCTTCACCCTGGCAGGCCAAAACCCCACAGCTCATGGGTTCTTGGCATACTGGGATGGGCTGCTGGCTGGGTGCTCAAGCTACCAGGGTCATGGCTAGAGGGTAAAGATATGGGGCCTCCAGGGTCTTTGGGACTTTTTGTGCTGAGTGAGGAAAATCTGCAAGGGTGTGGGATTGTGGAGTGTGGAGATAGCTTGTTGCCTAGACCTGGGGGTCCATGAAGTCAAATCCCTGGCTGTCCAGCTCCTTTGGCCCCTCCTTTTCCCAGATGTAGCACTGGGCCCTCCCACGGTAGCTCCCTCAGATCCTGTTCTGACTAGCGATAGTTACTTTAGTCTTTGTGACTAGGTAGGGCTTTCTGTGTAGAGTTCAGATCAGCAGCCAGGTCTCAGATCCCCTGAGCCTCCAACTTAGAACATCACGGAATATTATCAGTAGGTCAGTGGCCAACGTATGATGGTGTCCCTGGTAGCACAGAATTACCCTCACTTACACTGGAGTGGGTTCCTTTTCTGCACTGCAGCTCCCTCTGTAGGAGACAGCAGGGCTTTGTCCAGCTCCAGGCCTCACCCAATGGGACCCCAGTTGCCTATTTTTTGTTTTGTTAATTCTTCTCACTCATACACCCTTGTAATTCTACCATGCATCTCTGGATATGGCTTGCATAGCATGGCAGCCACATGAGTGACCACTGTGCCCCATTTGATAACTGAAGGAGACTAGAGACACCATGGGCGTCAGAAAAAATTCACCATAGAGGGACCTTGCAGTCATCGTCATAGTTTTACATTGGTCTGAGGTCAACAGGCACCAGGAAGAAAGGCTAGAGGCCACTGCATGGGAACCCGAGTTTGTCCTGGCCTGGCCCTGTTCTAGACATGACCAGGCATTCTGTCGAGGTCCTGATTGTGAGCTCTCTCTGGAGGAGTAAAATGACCCAGAGTTGAGGGCATACACGCCCCTCTACACATCCACCTTTCCCTGACAGCTGGCTTTCCACAGCAACTCTAGCCAAATGGTCTCTGTCTACTAACAGCTGTAAAACTTACCTGAGAGTAGTGAGAGGAGCTGTCACACAAGCCTCCCTGGCTACCCAAGTGTGCAAGTGTAGGCTCCTACCGAGGCCAGAGCCACCTGCCCCTGCGCCCAACCTTAGCCCAGAGTCTTCAACCAATCAGAACCGAGCAGGCACACCCTGCCCAGCCAGCCCTTAGGAACTCACCTCACGGAGCTTGGTCAGTTTCTGCATCCGCACAGGCTGCACTTGTATCTGGAAGTCTTTAAGCTCTGGCACTTTGGCCAGCTTGCCACTGGCTTTGCCTGGGAAGCGCTTCTCCTCTTCTGCCACTGGCAGCTTGGAAAGCACCTTCTGTAGCCGGGAACCTGGCTCTTCAGGGCCACTGTCCCAGGAGACCCCCCGGATCAGGGGTGGCCGGGACACAGGGGGCCGCTGTTCGACTTTGGGGCTAACCTTGGATGCTGGGGGCTCTCCAGGGGAGATTTTTCCCTGGGGGGCTGGTGGGGTCACTCCTCCCGAGCTCTGGGCTGGACTTCTTGGCAGAGGGTTGCCCTCTCTGGCTGTCTTCGTGAGCTGCCTCCCCAGCTCACTTTCAGCAGGGACAGATTGGGGGCTGTTTAGGGCCATTTTCCCAATGCTATTTGTGCCAGAAGCTGGGCCTTTGGGTGTGGTCTCAGGGTGTTGGAGGGGATCGAAGTTTTCCTTTTGTTCTATTGCAAGTTCTTTGGACTTTTCAACAGGGGAAGAGCGAACACCCAGCCTGCCCTGAGACACTTTCCTTTGGTCATTCTGCTTCCGGTCAGCTAACCCTTTGGGGACATTCTGAAAAAGATAAGGTAGAGTTGGCACCATGGTGGTTGGCCTGGGAGGAGACACAGCCCCTGCCAGGCAGCCCATGTTTGTATGTGTGCGTGGTACTGGGTGACCAGCCCCTCAGCCAGGTCTAAGCCTGCAAAGGGGACCCATAAATAAGATTGGAGTTTGTTAAACAGAGAGAACAGGGACACCTGCAACTCACAACCAGCCAAGGACTACCCAAGAGCTAGGTGCAATACAAAGCAGTTCTGGCTCCCTCACGTACCCACTTTCTAGTTCCAGTTCTGCCTGGCAGGGCTCTCAGCTCTGAAAGACTCACATTTCCCACCAGGTCTGTGAATCCTCTGAAACTGCAAGCAAACTTGCATGTCTGTTTTTGGCTATTAGTGGGGAATAGGAGGAAAAGAATCACTAGCTTTTGAGAACTGTTTTTCTCTGGGAAGAGATTTTATCTTTCAGCAGATTTTCAGACTTCCATGATGCAAGAGAGGATAGGATCACTGGATGGGGCAGTTTCTGCAAAGGTAGTTTGTCACTGCTTGGAAGATCCCAAATTCTGTTCCCTTACTCCCCACAGGAAGCCCACCTTGTGAGGCACACACCCTTATGTGTCTAAGCCTCGGTGCTATCACGTGTACGTGCTCATGTTCTTCCTGAGATCGCTCTCCTGGACCCAGGTGAGCTTGTATTTTAAGGCTGCCTTCCGTGCCACTTGGAGCACTTGGGCTCCTTGCCGTGGGTAAGGTAGGGCCCTTTTGTGGCTCATCAACAAAGATGAGATTCCTTCAGGTGCCTCCAGCACAACTCCAGCTGGGGCTGGAGCTTTCTTGCAGTTTCACTGGAAGTGACAAGACCACTTGCCAGTTTGCTGCTGGGTCCAGAGGTCCCCAATTCTGACCAGCAGCCTGACTGAGACTGCAAAGGAATGGGCATGACCTCTGTGGAGATCACACCTCTAAATCCTGCCTCCCCACTCTGCCCTACCCAGTCATGGAGGGCAGAGGGATCTGCTGGTTTCCCCAGCTTAGAGCTTCCATTCACACACATGTTCACACACAGGCCCAGGCGAGGCCTCTGTGAGACAGGGTCCTCCACATCCAGATCACCCAAAGTGAGCAAAGTGCCAACTCACAGGCTCGCCAAGGCGAGGTGAGGAGAAGTCCGCCTCATCTCCCTTCTGCTGGAGGAAGTAAGCACAGGTGAGCCAACCACGAGGAGAGACCTTCAGGAGGCCTAGCTTGCCACCCAGCACCCTCAAGGTCCCTCCCGGGTGTTAGAGGACAGGGGAGAGACTGCTGGCTCAGGAACAACAGTGCAAGTTACCTGCGGTGGTGATCTTGGTGACGGGGACTGTGGGCCACTGCACACATCCAGACCTGGAATGGCCCCAACACTGGTGAGTGGGGACCCTCAGCTATCCCACCACATCCCTCCCCGGAACATCATTTCTTAGCAACCTTAGGCCTGGGGGCCAGAAATGTCACTGTTTGTAGAGTGCCTCACACCTGCCTTTGTTGATCTCTCCCAGCAACTGTATGAGGAAACTGAGGGACCGTGAGGTCACTTGGGCAGGAAGTGGCAGTGCTGAGATGAGAACCCAGGCTGCCGACTCTAGCCAAGCTTGTCTCATAGCACTGAGCCCATTTCGCTTTCTGGACTGAGGGTGTGGCTCTGAGAGAGAAGCCATAAAATGCAGACAGTGGCCCCAACAGGGGCCTTCCCAAATGTGCCCTGTGAGGACTTCTCCCTGAGCCCTCACTGGGCAAACACAGCCTATCACAGTCCCCTTCCCAAGACCTTGCCCATGTCCTCCAGGGTACAGCTGCCTCCTGCATCAGCCCCAGGCGCCAACACATGTGCCTTCCTTCTCGGGGGTGGCCCCGCCAGGGCCAACTGGGAATCCCCTGGGGTGAGACGCAGCAAGAGTCCTGAACGAGAAAGCTACAAGATAGGAAGCATCTCCGGGTGACTTGGCCTCACCTGGCGGAGTGGGGACTGTCACCGGGCTGCTCCTGGAGGGCAAAGGAGAAGCTCCGGGGCTGCTGTTCTGGGGGACAGCTGTGGAGACAGACACAAACTGGCTGTAATTGATGAGGGATCAGGACATTATCACAGAAACAGCTTTTCAGGGGCTTCTTGCCCCTGGAACTGGATTTGTCTTGTGCTGTCACGCTAGACATCTTTTATAGCCCAACACCACTCTGCTCCCAGCCCAACAGGAAGCCCTTGGGGTCATGACGGGGCAGCATCACCCTCCTCAGCCTACTGTGCCTGACCTCAGAGCACCTTCCAGAAACTGAGGACCTGGTCTGGCTTGGCAAGTAAAATCCTAAAGGCTGTTTAACAAGGATCTTAAGGCAAGGCCTGAAATGCCCACTAGATAACAAAGCAGGACAAAGCTTAGCATCTCCGGCTTCATTTTTGTTTGTGTTTCCCTCGTTAACTCAAAATTTTGGGTCAGATTTCTGCTCAGCTCTGCATGTAAGCATGTTAATTATATAAAGAAGTTGTAATACAAGGTTTACTAGTCTTAAATTTGCTTAGGCTATCTCATTCTCCTTTAAAACTAAGGACATCAATTTAAGAGCAACTGAAATAATTTGCAATAATTGCCAGCTTTTCCAGTTTCAGAACAATGCTTAGAAGTCTCTAGTCATTTCCTAAAATCTGTGGCATTTTGGATTCTAGGAAAAGCAGAGCTTCAAAATCCACTCCACATGAGGTCATGTCCTGAAAGGGAACAATCCCTTCATAGTGGGAACCAAAGTCACATTCATAAGCAAGAGCAAGCATTTCATGGTGTGAAACAAATTTCCCCCTTAAGAGATGATGCTTTCCCAGGACCTTAGAGAACCAGTCCTGAGATACCAGTCAACCAGACCGGGATTACCTCTCCTGCCAGCTACACAAACTCCCAATCTTTACCTTTCTTCCCTTTTCCTGTCAAACTCTAAAGTTTCTGTCAGCCCCTGGGAGACAGATCTTGAACTCTTTTTCTGTGTTTCCAGTGTGGCCATGGTGATTAAAACCCCTTTTCCTCCCTTCACTGCTCATCTCTTTGACTAGGGTCGAGGGACAGGTGGTCAAGCCTGGTCTCTTGGGACTGATGGTGCTGGGCTTTTGTCTGAAACTTTGCTAATAACTATACTTCCTAGATGTCTCAGGATGGCCCTAAATTCAAATGTTCTCCTTGTTCTTAAGTCCTTGGACCTCAGCTTTTTGCTCAGAAAGGAGGGGACTATAGAAGGGCCCAGGGAAACCTTTCTTCTAACATTTAAATTCTCTGAAGATTGCCTCCCTTCCTCTGTGTGCCTGTGTCCTCCCTAGGAACAACAGGGGTAAGGGGTAAGGGGCAAGGGCCCGGAACATGGTCCTCTGATCTTTGCCATGGAAGAGCCCACAGAGCAGCCACACTGGCTCCGTTCACACAGGGAAACCCAGGGCTCTGTGTGTAGGGGCAGCACACAGAGGATTCCTCTCTGCAGGATTACGGGAGGGAGAGGAGTGGGGGAGCCTGAGTTAGATACCACATAGGCTGACCGTATCGGCACAACAGGAAGCCATGGTACTCACATGGAGGCCAAACAACAGGAGAGTCTTTGGGTTAGAGTTGGCCAAGCATTTTAGAGCCTCCAAAACTGAGTAAGACCTTGTATCAATCAGGCTCAGTCTTCTGCCACCGAGACACAGAGGAGCGACTGAGTCCAAGGATGCTGAGCCAGGAGGACCACAAGTTTGAGCTCAGCTTGGACAACCTAGCCACTTAGCAAGACTCTGACTCAAAGCTGAAACTGAAAAGGGCTGGGAAGGTAGCTCAGTGCAATGACACTGAGGTCAGCTAGCATTGAAAAAAAAATCCGTTCCTCTAGGAAGCAAAGCTCTCACTGTAACGAGGCCTGGGCCTTCTCCTCCACCCACCCTGTAGGCCCCAGGTAGCACCCTGGACCTCCTGACCCTGCCGCACCTGATGGGGAGTCTCCGGGGCTGCTCCTGGACTTCCTCCCACGTCGAGTCAGGAATCGTTCACTTACTAACTTGGCTTCTTCCAAAAGAGCCAGGTTTTTCTTCTTGTCCTCTTCTGAGATGCTGATGTCCGGCAACTGGTCATTTACCAGGTCAATGACGTGCCCCGCAGGGTCTGTGGAGGGAGGGTGAGCTCAGAGTGAGAGCTCCTGCCACTCTACTCCTTGGCCTAGGGTTGCTGCCTGGAGCTGACTGGGCCAGGGGAGCCTCAGTAGGGTGCTGGTCTGTGGGGAGGGTCGCATGGGGACACATGGTGGCTTCCTTGCATGCCTAGTTCATTAGCCTTACAACTCATGGCTGTAGCAAGTGCTGTGTCACAAATGGTCATGTAACCACCTAGGGATCCCAGCTCTGCCCTACACTCTGCTTTGAAAGCAGGCCATTGGGGAGCCCCAATTCCATGCTTTCTGCTCTGCCTTCTGTGTTCTTTCTTTTGATGCAATCCTGTGGCCACCTTCTCCCTTCTTTCCTCCATTCTCATGCTCTACCCAATCCTTTCCCAAACTCTCCCTTCCCCAGCTGCACATCTGGTGAGCTGGGTGAATGGCTCCCGCTCTCACACAGTGGTTCAAAAACATGGGAGTCGCTGCACACAGCTGCTCCTGCTTCCTTGAATCTCACTTCCAACCCCTGATCCGATTCTGCACTTACCTACTGAACCCCCCCTCCTCTCTACTCCTGCACTTCAGCTGCTCTCCAGGTGGTGACATCAGCTACCTAAAGGGTCCCTGCCTTCAGGCCACGCCCTCAGTACCATCCTCCGCTGCTAAGACAGCAACTATGCCTTCTCCTACCTTACCCCACGGGGACTCCACATGGTCCTCAGGGTGACATCCAAACTCTAACCTGGGCTCAGCCAATTTTGCAGGCCTGATGTACTCTCTCTGGGACCCCTCAACACCAGCCTCTCTATACTGAGGTTCCGCCAGCTCCCATCTTGCTTTCCAGCCTCTATTCCTACTTCATTTCACTGGGTGAAACTCTACCTTTGGTTTCTGTATCACATTAGTTAGAAGGGAACTAACCACCCTCACTCACGACCCACCACAAGTGCCACATGTGGAAACATGTACCAGTGTTGGCCAATCAGTGAGCTCAGTCCTAGTGGCAGGTATTGGCTTGGGGGGTGGCCATGTGAAGCAGTCTTGAGAATGGTGTGGGGTATGGAGAAGAAAAACTCTCTTTCCAATCATGGGACAAAAGCTTGGAGTTGCTAGTAGCCGTTTGTTACCATGAAGTTCCTGCCCAAGAAGGAAACTAGCACATAAAAAAGGAGTCTTGAAAGGAAAAACGGGACAACAATCAATAACCCAAGTTGAGTACTGCACCTGGATCCAGCACTACCTGAAACCACAAGCTCTGCCTATTATTCTTCTGTTACTGTTTGGGGTGAGCTAGTGGGAACTGACTTTCTCTCATCCAAAAGAGTCCTGGCTAATATACACCGCAGAGCATTCAGAGCCGCCACCAGAGCTCTGTGGGTTCCTGCTGCCTGCGATACCTCTTCTCTCACCTGCAATGACTCTCCTACCTCTCTCGAGGGCAACTCTAACACCATTCCCTCTGAACACCTACCCAAAATTCCTCTCTCCAGAAAGGACGAGGCCCTTCCTTGCCTTGGTTTCCCCAACTCTTCTGGGAAGGAGTGTCCTGATTACATCTTTTGGCTTCTCAGGGGAGGGACCAAGTCAGTGTCACAGCAACACCCAGAAACCCAGAGAAGGCTGGGAGAAACTTGGAGGAACAGGCAGGGGCACTGATGCTGCCAGCCTTCTGCTCAGGTGCACTCAACCTGCACGGGCTCACTCTGTCTTTCTGGCAGGGCTGAAGGACTCTGCCTCGCGAGCCCCAGAAATCAGCTTCACCCGGCTGCTCTGCCTCTGGCTTTCTCACTTCTTTATGCTGGATTTGGCTTTTTTCCAGAAGAGACTGAAAGTAGGAACTGTGCATCTTCTAGACTCAAACACTGACGGGCTGATCTGCTCTGCTTTGCTGGGGAGGGGAAGGGGAAGGAGCTAGGTCTGGCCACGCCACGGGACCTCAGTCTTCCTCTCAACCACACCCTCCCGCAGGCCCAACCCTTACCCACAGACGTCAGCGACGCGGTGGAGACCCTCAGGTGTCGGTGAGAAAGCCTCCTGTGGGGACTGTGAGCTCTGAAAGAACAGTCGTCGCGTCAGGAAACCATTTGATGTGTCCTCTTTCATCTGTCAGTCACCCCAGAGCCAGTCTCACAAGCATATCTGGGGAGTCCTCTGACTTTTCCACTGGGGACTTGTTGGAAAAGCAGATTCTCAGGCCCCACCTCACAGCTCCTGGATCAGACACCCTGCAGTCTGGGCCCAGGTCGCTCTGGTGGTTTCCATGCACACTCAAGTTTGCCAACCCAGGCTGCAAGGGGTGCAATTTTGACTGACGACAGTATTTACTGTTCTTTAGGGCCCAGACTCTAAGATCTGAGAGTGGAAACTTCATAAAATAGAAGAGCTAAAAATATGATGTTGTTGCCCTGCAGGACATTAAGCTATTTTATATCTAACTTAGCGACTTTATTCCAGCATCATTTTGCTCCCCACTGATTATATACCTGTTTGCTCTCCCCTCATTGGGACCCTCTTTGTTACCCTGCTGCTTCCCTTGTTAATGAGTGAAGTGAAATCTGTGACATGCGCTCACTACATGAGAGCTTTCTGAAAATTGCAATTAGACAATCTAATTCCAGCTAGACCAAAGCATGGGCCAGTGCAGAGTGAGACGGTCAGTGACCCTGTGAGCCAGTGTCACCTTGCAAGACCCACCTTCCATACACTGGCCAGGGACAGGTTCTGTAGCCTAGGACTCACAGCTTCTAGATTTGTCTAAAAATATCTGGGTGAGTCTTGTGCGAAAACTCCCTGCTGTGGTTGGTGCTTTCTTAAAGGCTAACACCAAATTCAGGAGAAGAAAATATATTTTGGAAAAATCTTAAGCTGTCTCTCCCATTTTGAAAAACTACTTGATAGTATTTCATTGATAGAATGGTGCAACAAAGAAGAAAAGATTTATTAAAAATAGAGCTTTCTTCTGAGTGCCTGGTTCTAGGGAAGACTGTCCATCATGGCGCAAGGCTCAGGCACCTGGGCTGCGTACCTGTTGGCCAGGGACTTGTCGGTCTCTCCTGGGGAACCAGCATCCCCTGTCAGGATGATTGCAGGTGGGCTGTGGAATATTCCTGCTGAAGGAGGGTCCTAGGGGTTTAGAGCAAAAAGCAAACAGGTTAGGCTTGTACTAGAGCGAGCTGCCGCGATCATCCCAGCTCCATGATGCTCAGAGCTGTCTCGGTCACAGGGACCAAGAGTGCGTTTGCTTGTGTCACCTCTATTAAGGTACAATTGATAAAATAAAATTGTATGTATCCAAGTTGGAGGATGTGACCTTTTTTTTTTTTTTTGACTGGGGATCTAACGCCCTTAGCAGGCGGGTGCTGTACCACTGAGCTATGTCCCTGGCCCCTGATGTGACATTTTGATAGGCATAATTTAAAATGACTATCATGATTAAGCTAATTAACATACATACCACCTCCATTAACTGTGTATGTGGTAAGAATACTTAATGAGGCTGGAAGTTTATCTCAGTGGCACAAGTGCCTGGCAGGCAGGCGCAAGGTCATGAGTTGAGTACAATTCCCAGTAGGAAAAAAAAAAAAAGCTTAGTGAATTTCAAGTATAGAGGAACTTCAGTATTAACGTAGTCACTCTGCTGTACCTTAGATCTCCAGAATATTTGTGGTACCGGAGATCAAACTCACGACCTCGCGCTTGCCAGGCAGGTGCTTATGCCACTGAGCTAAATCCCTGGCCCAGAACTTATTCTTAGAGTTGAAAGCTTGTACTCATTGGCTAACTTCTCCCTATTTCCTCTACTTTCTGACTCCTGGTAACCCTCATTCTAGTCTGTTTCCACAAATTCAACCTTTTAAGATTCCACATATGAGATCATGTACTATTTATCTCTTTGTGTCTGGCTTATTTCACTCAGTACAATGTCCTTTAGGTTTATTCCTGTGGTTGCATATGAGAGGATTTCATCCTTTAAAAAAACTGAATAATATTCTACTGGGCATGTGCATATATGCATTTTTCAGGGTTTCTTTGAACATTCATCACTGGACATTTAGGTTGCTTCCATATCTTGGTTCCCACGAATAACACATGAGTGCAGTTTATTTGGATTAATCCAAAAAGAAAAAAATGGGCAGCAGATACTTTCTTACCCAGCAGGCATTTGCCCAAGCTTGGCACAGGCCACCACGCACTAAGACTGGGCCACCACACGCCGTGCCTTGTTAGTCTCAAAAGCAACACATGGAAAGAATGGTTCAGAGCCCTCAGCTGTGGCCAGCCTGGCCAGAAAGACTGAAAGCCTCGGAAGCAGGCAGCCCCCACGTGTTCCTGGTATCCAGCAACTGTTTTGCTTTTGCTAATGTTGACATTTTGGTAAAGGTGATTTGTGCAGTGAGTAGTTTAATTTTTCTTACTTTGTATAAATGTTTATGTGCACAGGTGTGTATTTCCAAAACTAGAACAAAGTTATTGGCTACGCCTTGGTGTTTTGAGGTAATATTTCACAAGTGCTAAGTAAATAAAAGAAAGAAAATTCTCACACCCCAGGTCTGTGCATTTGTACATTCGTGTGCTGCTGACGGTTGCTCAAAGTGTAAAACCATGTCAAGGGCATAAGAGATATTCGCAGAGTGCATAAGTGACTTGAGGAAACCCAAGCAATGCGGAACCTACAGAAAGATCCGTAAAGAAGCACCACAGCGCAGTCCTCCCAGGCCTGAGCGCACTGGGGTAAACACAGGGCCACACGAGCGGCCATACACAGTGTCTGTCTTGTTCTTTTGCTACCTGCTATTGCAATATTTTCTTCTCAGAATTATCCCCAGTTTGTCTGGGAGACTCTCCGGGTGTTCCCTGCATTGTTCCTTCATCCTCTTAAAGTGCTTAGAGATGATGCTTTCCTCTTTCCTTCTCCTTCCTGCCTCCTTGACTGGTGTGTGCTGCCAGGCCCCTCAGGAACACCCTCTTCCTGCCCATGCCACGGGCTTGCGTCCTAATGCTCCAGGCTTGTCCCTACCACCTCCTCACTGCTGGGGCTGCCTCCTCCTACACTGTCAGAAGACCGGGTGTCAGGCAACCCATCATCTCTCTTCCTGCTAGAGAGACTGGACACTGAGTGTTCTTATTTCCAATGACCCCTCTGCAGCCATGGCCTGAGGGTTGCTGGCTGCAGAGCAGAATTGGACTATAGTTCTGAGCAACTGGGGCATAGGTGTTAGTTCTCTGCAAGGTGGAGGAACATGTTTCCTTCCCACAGTATACTTTCTTATTATTATGTGGGTCCAGAACAGTTCTTTTTAAATTCTTAAATATCATAGCTGCAGGAAAGCCAGATCTTCTCACTTTCACTTCCCTGCCTCAAATATAAGATGATGAGAGATACTAAAAATCCACCCAGGAACATCATGTCCCCTTTGCAGAAAATATACTTCCTCCCCACACCGGTACCAGAAATCAAACTCATGACCTCATGCTTGCCAGGCAGGTGCTTATGCTCTGAGCTAAATCCCCAGCCCCCTGAAAAGATGCTTTTATCTGGAAGCTCAAAGCCAGATCCTTGAGAAGTCTTGGCTTGGCCTCAGGATCTTTATCCAGGACCTTGTGAGTACAGGGAACTGCAGTGTCTGGAAAAGCAGAGGTGTTCAGAATTTGCCTCCAGGATATGAAATGAAATTTTTGGGGATTTTGGGCAGAGAGTTGGCTGGCAGGAGGGGTAGAAACCAGCATTGACTATTGGAAGAGCAACAAGTCAGGCTTAAGTTCCTGCTTATCACCTATAAACTGTGCATCCTTGGGCAAGTTACTGGTCCTATGATCGTAAAGTTTAATTCACAAGGTTGGCATGAATATTAAAACAATGTCCATAAAGCACTTCATCTCTTTATCGCTACTTTCAATAAATGACTATTTTGTTGTCAAATTCTCTATTTGTCATCCAACAAACGCATTTTAGTTGCCACTGTGTCCCGGGAGCAGATAGATATAAAGAGAAGACCTGAAGGACTCATAGGAATACAGAAAAGCAACATAGTACCAATCATCATAAAGAGACAAAGAGTGGACCTCATCCTGGGTAGGCTCAGAAGAAAGAAAAGAAAACTCTAGTCAGGGAAACTGGAGAAGGCTCTGTTTGGGGAAGGCTATTTGAACTATAAGTCTTGAAGAATGAGCAGAGGTTTGTGAGACCAAGTAGGGAGAGGCTTGGGATGAAGAAAATAGTATTATCAAAAGGCATAACTGGGAATTAGGTGTTAGGAGCGGAACATAGATTAGACAGTGTGTGAGCTAGGAGATCCTAGGGATGGGGCAAAAGTGACACTTGAATAAGAGGTTCAGTTTTTAAAGGATTTTGATTGCTACAGAGTTTAGACAGAATGAAAGAAAGTATACACACGCTTGCATAAGTGTCAACTGGCCCACAAATGCTCACTATTTTAGAAAGAAAAGCAAAGCAAAACTAAATAGTGTTTCTACTGAATCAGTCCTTTCATCTCTTGTCCACTGGGCTCCTCTGTAAGAGGCCACTGAGCAGCAGGGATGCTGAGGGACTCCCCAGGGACCAGCAGGGATGCAGGAAGACTGAGGCTCATGATTGAGGGACTGACGACACGCAGGAAGAGGCCTGGTCCAGAAGGGGAAGCCATGTGTCAACATGGCGGCTGTTGGGATGAGGCGATGGCAGACGGGGCCAGGATGGCATCAAGCTGAATGAGAGCCAGACAAGAGGGAAGAGTAGGGTTTCTACTGTATGGACTTTGGTGAGCGGGAAGGGCTGAAGTTTTCTAGTAGTCTCTGCACATCGTTAAAAAGATTCTGTGACTGGAGTGCTCTCTCCGAGGTCAGAAAACAAATGTGCACCATCCGACGCACGCGTGGGGCTCAAAGGTGCCAACTACAAATCCAGAGGCCTTTTGTCTAGGAGCAGTGTTTATGAATTTTAATTACGAACATTTCGTAACTGGAAGAATTTTCACATGGGTCTAGATGCCCTGCTTTTCTTGAAACTGAAATATCAAGCAGTCTTGGTCCACATTTCTGCAGAGTAACCCGTGGTTTGATTTATTCTAAATCAGTCTGCTTCAGTCATTTAGGGGCCCTGACCCTGAGGCATCTGAGTTACAGGCCCCGTGTTAAGTGATTCTTATCCTGGGCTGGTTTGGGGGCACACAGTGGGTTTGTGCTTAAACTCCCCTCATTCTTGTCATCTTGGTGACTCATGTGTGACTTGCCATGGGAGCACCAAGCAAGTCTCTGCTGTGCTCCCAGTATGTGTGGGGCTCCTTCCATGAGTGGATTGTAGCCTGACTGTGAATAAGCTTTAAAAATTACTTTTTTTGGCCCGGTGATAAAGCCCAGTGGCATAGCACCTGCCTGGCAAGTGCGAGGTCATGAGTTCGATTCCCAATTAAAAAGAAAACACCAAAAACATAAAAACTGCCTTTTTTGGTGTTGGCCATATCTTTCTTCTGAGTCCTCTGATGAACAAGAAAAAAAATGTTTATATATATAGGCTTACACATTTGCATAGACACAGTATCATATGATTTCTGTCGTTCCTAAAGAGGGTCCTGCATAATTCTCTATGTGCCCAGATGTAAATGGGCTGCATCTATTTGATGGTTGACATGGGTCAACCATGATCTAACTTCATGTTCCATTTCAAAAAGTAATTATGGTGGTAGTGGAAGGTGTATATCCATTTCCGAGTACTTAATATACCAGTAAGCATACTTTTAAGTAAAAAGAATATAAAATTTTATTTTCATTTATTGACATATTCCCTACTTCCCAGGTCTACTTGGAACAACCAACAGTAGAGTATAAGATAGAAAAACACAAGACTATAAAGATAGGGGCAACATAACAAAATATCCACAGCAAAGAGAAACACTTGCCTCTTCTGCTCATCTCTGATCTGGCTCTGAGATTAAACTTTGGGCCTAAAACCCAGTGAAACTGATTCACATGGTCGAGCTCCGAGGAGCACTGTGCCGGAGAACTGTTCCACAGGCCAAAACCCAGCAGAAAAGGCCCTTCATTCCTCTCTCACTTCTCAAAGGACATGGAAAGAGGACAAATCCTAACCTCTATCCTCACTTCTCTCCCCTTCAAAATTTCCTGCA